GTATGGCTCAACGTAGTAACGAAAGGACATTAAATGAGATAATAATTTTCAACTTGATGTCAAACTCTGAGGGTACGAACATAGGTTACAAGGGCAAAGTAAGAGAACTATACAGGATTAGAAAGCAGTTGTGTAATATGCGAAGTAGATTTCAACGAAGATAGGGGTGGAAGGGATGAGCATAGAAACAGACTGAAATAATAGTTCCTATAACTGAAGATGATTTAATGAAGGGAATGAAAAAAAGACAAATCAGAAATCAAACAAAATTAGATCCATGGTAAATGTAGATGCTGGATGAGTTACTTCTGAAGACATCGCTTCGTCTTCTTGATGCATATGGCAAGGGATTCTGTGGTACAAAGTCAGAAACAGACTAACATTGGTAGATTTTTGTTTACTTTGTAAATGACTCATCATTCAGAATTATTTTTTAATTCTATGTAATTTTGTTTCTATGCCCCGTGGTATCTATATTCACACTTTCAAATTTTTATATCAAGCTGCAAATTATTGTCGCCTTTAATCTCCCTTCGTTACTTAGTTGAATTAAATAATTGTCACTATGTAAATGTATGTATAAAAATGTGATTGTACAGCTGCTTGTGATGATGACATCACTAGAAAGATCTCTCCACTGAGCTTCTTGTTCATTCTTACTACCATCTTACTTATAATTAAGGTTTAAAACGCGTTATACTTGCAATTTGCAGTTAATCATGTACATATATAATATATCTTCACTACAACAGCTTCTGCCCTATAAGCTATAAACGGGGATTAGTAGGGACACTCACCGTACGATAGAGCCAGGAAGTTATATTCGCCTAACAAGGTCAAAGAAGAATTAAGCTGTGCTGAGAAATACTTAAAGCAAAATGAGTATCCAAAGCGATTTATCCTAAAGCACAACAAAGAAAAGGAAGTATCCAACAGTTGAAAAGAAGAAAGTGTTCATTTGCCTCCCATTCAAAAGAGAAAAAGTATCACAAAAGACTGACAGGAGGATGAAACGAGCAATAAAGAGATGCTTCCCCGTAGCCAAGCTGGTGACACTATACAGCACCACATGCTGTATAAGCCAATCAAAACTGGATAAGTACCCCGCTGATGTTACCTCCAACTGCATTTATAAATTTACGTGTGCCTGCGGCAGCAAGTACAATGGAAGGAAAAAAAGAAGGGCTTTTATCCGGTTTTCAGAGCATTTTCCAAAAAACTTATGCTTAAAAGGAAGCAGATATTTACAAAGTGCAACTACCAGACACCTTATGGATAGGGGTCATGTTGTCGAGATTTCCATATCCTTTAAAATACTAAACATACAAAAGAAAAACAGAGAATTTACTACGATTTGTTCAAGCAACTGCAATCAAGCGTATCAGACGAAACTAATGCACACAGGAATAGTGTAGTCAAGTTTTCACTCCCTTGATAACCGTATTACTTTGATTACACTGACTAGTAATACTCATCAGTGAGCTGAGCTCACTGAGCTAGTTATCAATTTGATGGATTATAACCTTCTTGAGTTGCCATATTGACGTACAAGCTAACACTGTTTATAAGATTTTTCTGTTTTCTGTCTTCTCTCACCCCCCTTTTTTCACAGTTTGATAGCATATAAATTGATGGTAACTTAAACTACAAATTGTAATACTCATATTCCGAATGTGCTGATCTTGTAATGCTTTCTCTATTACCTTTCAAACACTGAAGTATGAAATGTCATTATTTATAACCACTGTAATTTGAGGTAGAGGTGTGCAGCTGATGAGAACCTGTGAAGTAGAATGACAGCATCATTTAATACTGTAAATCGGATCTTTCTTTCTTTATCGAAATTTATCAAGGGAACCAAATGTATGAAACATTTATAACAGACTAATCGTTTTTGTTGAATATAACCATTAAAATTGATAATATGATACACAAAATCTCAAAAAGAATTAACGAGTGAATAAAAGGAATAGAAATTTAATAGGTCAAGAAGACACATTCCTATATTTACAAAATCCCTTCTTGGTAGACAGAATAATGATGAAAATAAAAAAACTACACAAATTAGGTCATACGGGCACACACACACAGTAGAAATTTGGTATGAATAATACAATCAGATACTTAAAAACTTCTTATATTAATGAAAGTGAACTTAGGATAGAAAATAAAGTGGATATAGAAGGAATGAATAGGAGGTAATAGCTGAAATTCACTCCTATGGAAACTCAAATGTGATAAATTCATACCAATCCTTACTGTTAATTTTGTCTAAATCAAGAAAAAAATCTGACTGGTACTACACTGAGTTGTATTCATTAGAAGGCGATTATTGAAAGAGGAAAAGCGAAAGGTAGAGATGTGATACACATTCACAGAGCTATGTAGACAAGCCCTAGAATCACTTCTTTGCAGAAACTGTGACTTAAAGTGAACGGTGTTGAAGACAAGGAGCTCACGAAACCACATACTAGCGACTGACTGAGTTGAGTGATAGCTGAATACTTTTCAAAACAACCGGCAGTATTTCCTAGCTAGATTGAAGTGATCTAATAGCCGGATGGCTGTATCGCTCGCCTGTGACTGGGCTCAACAGCAGTATACAAGGTTTGATTCAGCTTAGGGCGCTGAATCGGTTCAGAGCACACAAAGAATGTATGGTAGGGTAAATCGAAAAATAACTTCCTATTAATAATAAATTTCAATCAACTCTTGTAAATGTGGATATTTTTTAAAAGCTTAACTGTTGGGTTTATGTGAATTTAATTTAACTTATGGTAGAATCAGTCAGATGTACTTCGTTAGTTTCAACAGTCAGCTTCTAGCTAATGCATCCTGGGTTCAAATCCCAGTATACTTCCTTCAGCCAGGACAGATAAATTGTATCTTACATACACAAGCACTGACTGAGGTTCATGATCTGGTTCATGAAAAATCTATTCCGATTAACTGGACTTTAACAACAGAACCCATTAGCAGTAGAGATCAGTTAGACAACCATCATAAAATACACCATAAAATAGCCGTTTCATTTTAGTTTGAGATTACTCGTCAGTGTGGAATCCCTCACCTCATAAGGGATTAAGCTCAAGACTATCAGGTTTTCAGGCAGCCACCTTATCATTTCAATCAGACAGCGGAATCTAATGGCTATATGATATCATGAATTGGTAGGAGATAGAAACCTTTGGTAATTTCATTCTAATGTACTGAATAAAAGGTGATGTGCTGGTGTCAAAACTTGACAAAGCTAATGTCCATGCTTTAGGAAGTCTTGTATTGTACTCTGATGCATTCTCCTAGACTAGGACAAAACATCTATCCAATACCCTTTGGTTTGTATTGGTCCTTTAATTTATTTGAACAGCTCACAAAATTATTCGTAAAAACTTTTCTATTTTCCAATGCTATCTTAGTTTTTTTCATTTTTATTATTATAACTAAATGAAGTACATAGGCCCCAACTTTAAACGTTTTGGTTACTATTGTTATTGTTTTCAGCCTATCTTCATTTCACATGTAAGAAAGTAGTAATGAATTGAACGTTATATTTTATATTTATAGTTAGAAATTTATGTCTGTTGTTATTTCTGCAGAGAACTGAATACAGTACATATCGCTTAAAATATGAAACAGAGTTATTTGTCAAACTATTAAGCTATTTTAAAGAAAAAGAAGGAGAAAGATGAGGCTTAAAAATTCTGTTAGCCACCAGTTAAAAAAAAATCAGTCTTCATGGAGGAAATTCCGGGCTCAAATATATTTGAAAATTATTATGCATCAAGCTGAGATTATTTTTATGCTCACTATTTAGGATAGTTCAAATGAATGATATATTGTGGTATCTTCACGGATTATATGAAGTCATTAATTGAATGAGAAATAATATTTTGTTGTCCGGTTGGACAATTTCAGGAAATTAAGTCTTAAGAATATGTATCTGTGTAGTGGAGTGCCACATAGTATGATAATTATCAGGTAGACGACTAGGGCCACTGGAAGTCTTTCTTCATCCATTCCTGTAATCTTCGGAGAAATCAACTAGGATTCAGCATAGATACGTCATGCCCAGAGGTAAACATTAGGCAGGAATTCAGCTTGACATATTTCTAAAGCTTCTGCCTATTGGAAATATCGCATGACTGTCTTCAATTTGGCCTTGGTTCACACTACGCATCATCCATTTCGAAACCAATCACCAATGAGTATCTATTTGTTATTGTAGTCAGTAAGTTTACAATGAATCACCTACTTTCAAACTAATATTATTTACGTCAGAATACATGGCTAACTACCAATAATATGACTATTAATTCAGAAATGAACTCATAGGTTCTACCATTATTACATAGAGATAACATGTAAACTTTAAGTTTTCATACAGACTAAAACAAAATCTCCTATCCTCAGCTTAGTACTTTCAATGATTTGACAATGTTTGCTGTTAGTGAGAAGAGAAAGAGAGTATTCTGGTTTTAGACACAAATTAAATATAATCCTGGGAAACTATTTGAAGTCTCTTACGGGGAGTGGGGTATGTTTACATCATATTTAACTGAACAGATCTACTACAACTTCCAAAAATCACGATGTCAGAACCAGGACCAAATTCCTACTTTAATATGCAAAGATGACATAGGTGATATTTCCTGCCACATTTCGAAGGTCTGAAAGGCTATCATCGAAATGAAGCTATCATTTGAAAGGTCTTTTGCCAGTTCTGTTTTAGACCAAGTTGCTAGGACTGGCTCTATAATGTAATATGAACCACAGAGAATCCAATCCTAAAATTCGACCTCAAATCTAACCTTATAGGGTGGATAACAGTGCACCTAGTAGTTCTGCATATTATCATAAATAAAGCCCTAGTCTGTTTAATTTTATTCCTACTAGGTGAAATTTCTGTTGTAATTTGATTCGTGAAACTCAAACGAAAATTAATAATAACTATTTCTCATGAATATTACAGAACCGAAAACTGAAACTTTGCTACCACTTACGATATTCAGGCAAGGGTTGCATGCAGGTCTTGGGCGGCTTTGTCGCATCCAGTATATGACTCCAAGGATCTGGCGGTTTGGGATACTGGAAACGCAGATCACCTATGGGCGGTTTGGCGAAAGGTATTCCCAAAAATTGATAAACATTCTTTCCATGTACATATTTCTGTTTTCCACTAACAGCTCCGTAATTGGTACGAATGACAATCTGATCTGCCCATGAAATTACAGGTAAAAGCTGCAAACATGAACAAAATATTTTGAAATTCAAATAAAGTACTAAAAACATAATAATTTCCCTTTCATGCCCATTAAATCCCAGGAAAATATAGCCGCCCGGTAAAATGGATCATCTGGCTGTTTATATATCGCTAGTGCTGTAATCTTTAAGTAAATGTAACCAATCATGATCGTTCCTCTATGTATTTTCTCGACAGATGAAAGCTGATGTATAAATCAACCAGACCAGTTTATATCATGAATAATAGCTGCAGCTAAGATGAAAAAGCTGTCCTAATGCAAATGCTGTTTCGCAAACAGTGGCAAAATTTGTTTAAACTGTCCTTTCTCAGCGCGCCAAATTTGAAATCTGCGCAACATGGTAAACGTGTTTGATAGGTTATTGTATTTACTTTAGAGACCTATTATTCTCAATGGCCATGAGAGACCTATTACCCGAATAACATACAACCGTGATGGGGATCTTATCTTTACTGCTGCTAAAAACCAGAGTGTCTGTGTCTGGTACAGTGTAAACGGAGAAAGATTAGGAACCTATGATCAACATGAAGGTGCTGTGTGGTGGCTTGATGTAGACTGGACAACGTCTATGCTATTAACTGCCTCCGCTGATTGGTCTTGTAAGATATGGGATGTTAAAACTGGTCAGTTTGTGACAGTTGCGTTATTCTCTCGTCCACAGGTCAATGCTTAAACACATATACTACAAATAACCCTGTTCGAACATGTGGAATCTCATACTGTGGGAATTTGATATTTCTAGCCACTGATGATACTGGGAAGAAGGACTGCCACATAATCGCCCTCGATAAACGTGATCCAACTCATGTAAGTATCACAAAGATTCTTTTACCACTTTTTATCATTTTGCTTAAGTTTTTTACTTATAACCCTATAATAGTGTTTTGACCTTAAAGGCGATTTCGAGCATATTACAATTTTTAAATAGTTTCACCACAAATGTCACGATATGAATGCTTTACGTAGTTTCCAAAATCAGGTCAGAGTGTAATCAAACTTGCATTCACACACAGTAAAGATCATATTTGTCTGACGTCTTGGTTATTTCTACCCTGGCGTATTCTAAAGAGCAGCTCATGTAGTTAATAGACAACATTTTCATACCTAAGGTTTATATATTTAGAGCAGTTATGCGGCAGATACATTTTTAACGTAGAATAACAGATTAGTTATGGGGTGTCAAAATAAATAGTCGTATTTGTGTGACTTTTAATTCATAATATGGGAATTTTCGACACTATCAAATATTTAGAGCACCTGTGCTATAACGTCTTGACTCAGTTCTCACTTAAACAGCCATTATTTTACAGATTCTTTGCAGCTGCTGTTGCACAAAACTTGACACGTCCACATTTTTGACATTTTCTAGGTCTATGTTGCTGATTTAGTTTATTCAACATCATTCTCGATTACTGAGAACCTTACGTTTTGTTAATTGCACTAAAGCTAATCAGATATCCCGAACATCACTTAAAGGTTGATTTCCCAGCCACCAGCGATTCTGTTAGACGTATATTCCTCTTTCAGTTTTTAATAACAACCGGCTATTTTCTAGATATCTGTGCTTTGAATAGTGAAATACTACCAATCATGGAGAGCTATAAATTGTAGACCAAATGTATGTTGATGCTATTAGCGCACATTTTCCAGCACTACTGAAGTTTGTTATTTCCTACCGTAGTCCTTAATGCCTAGTGCGACTAAACTTGTTTATATAAATGCTCCCCACTAAGGTAGTCATATTTTAACTGGTTAAAAATGCCCATTAAAATTTTCAAAAGAATGGACACGGAACAAAGAGTACTTTTTTCGATAAATTCATCATCAGGTTCTACAATTATGTATACATTATAATGAATGAATGAATGAATGAATGAATGAATGAATGAATTAGTCTTATGAACGACATTAATGTTTAAATAACATCAAATCAATAATATTGATAAATTACAGCTGAACAGCATCAACATAAAACAAACTGAATGTCAGAAGAATTAGGAAAGGTAATAGTACAAATTCATGAGTTTATAGTCTCTACTAAGGGCCAGGGCAGTAGTAGGAGTTGGACTTGTTTCTTCTGGACACAGAGCACTAGTTGTTTGAGGCGAATTGCAATAGCCTCTGCTGTTTGGAGCATGTGGTGCTTGGATGATTTTGGCAATTTATCAGTCACCCGGTAGATGATAGAGAAGGATTCTTCCATGCTGGCTTTGTGGCCGGTTTGCACCAGATGGTCCAATATCGAACTGTTAATGGTTTTAACTACACCTTTACTTAGCCATAGTGGGAGATGTTCTCGAGCACATCTATTATCTGTGTAGCTAGATGCCACTTCCACGTAAAATAGAAACTACGGTCGAGTGTTTGGAATGTTTACGTTAAAGAACCGTGTTTATTTTAAAATTCGACAGACGCTCAGATATGGTTCGTTCATGTTATTTGTATCAGACTACTTAAAGATAAGGAAAAGATAGTGAAAATATTGCTTAGAATGTTATGCTTATAGTTGTAGTTGCATACTCACTGAGTTCTACGTACCCATCTTTCTCATCTGTTAAAGTAGCAGTAGCAGTTCTGTGTTTTGCCGCTGTGTACGACATATTTTGTATTCCTTATATGTGCACTAGATTCTTTGAGTAAAGTTTGTGGCTTTCAGTCGGTTATACGAGGTTAAATCTGCGACAATGCATTAATGCGTGTATGTGTACGCCAATGACTAAATGTGCGCAGAATACAAACACACGCTTAATCTTTTCGTTCCAATGCAGACTAGAGCTGAAGGGGTATTGTATCACTGGATTTCCAGTAAATTCCTTCAGTATGTTGTGAAACTATCTTGCCTAGTTGATTTAAAAATGATGAAAAATCATTATATCTATTTGTCGAACACCTGTTTCTTGGTATGCCATGAAGGTTGTCTGGCAAGGAATAAGAATGAAACTGGCCGAATTCAATAGCAAAATAGTGCAAAATAATTCCACATTCAAAAACGCAACAGCGATAACGTTTTTCTCATCAATGACCACTATCTCAAGTTGCTAAACTGAGTCAGGTAGGGAGATGCAGACTTCCGGGTTGGGGCCCTCGGGACTCTAAGAATTAATGGTTGGAGACAATAGGTGAAATGGCTCAAAATCGTTGTCAATGGCGCAGATGTATTCAGTCTCTGTAATCTTTCATATTACTTTCTACCATTACTCATTCTGTTTCACTCTTATACTTGTCAAAACTCTATTGATTCTCTTCACTCATTTTCTTGTCTACCTTTGTGTGCTATTTGGAACGTGGCAACTCGAACTGCTGGACTTCGGTGCCAAGTTCTATGTTGAATCCAGCCAGCCATCTCAAGTTGCTGCCTTTTATGTTGTCATTAGAAATAGTACATCCCAAAATATTTTGATTTGCCTCATTAAGTCAGGCAGCCAGATGCAAAACGTTTCTTCAATGTGTGGAGCTAATACCATTAATCAATCAATATCTAATTGACCTCAGGTCATAACATACTAGATGGCAGACAACTGTAATACCACTGTTGGCTAGTTAAACTGCTGCCTAAAGTACCCAAATTTAAGTGGATAGTTGTAGTAATGGATCCTTACTCAAGCCTTTCTTTTGAAGCCTAATCCTCAGTGTGTATTTCTGTTGCTGCCTATCATTAAAACAGGTTTAGATGTTCTGAGGGTTCTGGAATTCACCATTTCAAGATCATGGTTTTTGAACTTCTCTGTTTCTGTTTGATATGTAGCAAACTCAACTGCTACACATTAATTCTATGTCCTATATAGATGACATCTGTTTGTTAATAATGCTTTGGTGATTGTTAAATGTTGCCAAGTTCTGTTAGTTGTGGTTGAGCGATAGTTTCCCCAGCTTTTTTGAGTGATACAGACAACTACAGCGCAAACTTTTATGATATGCCGAAATTTTCTTATGGTTAGCATGTAATCAATACTTTTTTAATATGATTTATTTTTGTCTGGATAGATGTCACAGGAATCCTGCATATTTAAGAAGGTATCTGCAGATAAAACTAAAATAACTGGTGCAATATGGGGACCAGTCAATCGAACTATTATATGCGGTCATGAATCTGGTGCTTTGACAATGTTGGATGTCAGTTCTGGTGACTGTGTAAAACACATCAATCCACATAAAGGACCTGTAACAGATATGCAAATGCATTTGACACTACCAATGCTAATAACAGGATCTAAAGATCACAATGCTAAAGTATGCTATTTTTTGAATATTTCTATTATCCTGCTTATAAAGTTTTCTTTTTGTTTTTCTAAATCTACCAATAAATGAGAAAAATACATTGGTGCAGGCTCTTTCACAGTGTTACATCTTGCACGAATCATCCGTACATCAGGAGTGCACATGTCCAGTGTTTTTCCTATGAGACTTATTCCCCTTCACTCCCTAGCACATTTGAATCACAAGAAGCAGCAATTTAATAGAATTATTTGTTTTCAGGTAATTTTTTCGCATTTCGCTTTGACTGATTATGTTTGGCTGAAATGCTTGGTGTTTACCCGTCCACTCCTGGTGCCGACACTTCGACGATGTCTAAGGGTTAATGTGAAGTTATTGTGAAAGAACAGCCAAATGCAAAATATTTCTTCAGAGTGTGAAGTTAACACCATTTGTATGTCAATAGCTGGTGGTGAGGATGCATGTTGCTCCCCTCCATTTAGAACTCGTCAGTTAAATGTACGTATATTCCTAGTGCCTGTTAGCGTTCCCATTAAGACTTGGGCCGTGCACCCATCGTTTCAAATGTCATAGTACCATAGAATTCCTCATTGTATAAATGAGTAAAATAGGGCGTGTTAAATATCCTGTCCAAGTCTCCATACTAACTAATCTGTTAAGTGTTTTCTGATCCTTGTGTAACTGTCCACCACCTTCATACATAGTGTACAAAAAATTATTTCCAAGTTATCTCTGCAAAGTAGTGATCGGTTGTATTTCCTTCATGTGACATTAAAAAAACAATTCGGATATGCAGTACATTAGATTATGAACTACATTTGCTGTAGGAAAACTTGTAAGGCTCTAGGTTTGAAGAGTGGATGAAGTTTGCAATGGACTGACGAAGTGTTTAATTATTATCATTATCACAATATCTACTGTATTATACTGACAACTGAACTAACACTTATTTTTGTATTTCACTTCCACCACTTAAACATTTTGTATGTAGCTATTCAGTGCTTATGACTTGGACTGTATTCGTACTTACACTACTGAACGTCCGATCAACTCTGCGGCTATTTCACCCACTAGAGATCATGTAAGTTATGCATTTACATTGAGTCATGTATGTATATTTAGTATGCACTAATCAGTGTTTGTGTGTAGGTATGTAGGTTTCTTGTTCACTTTTTGTCATAATCCAGAAAGTAGCATTTGGTTAAGTTTTCTACACTAAATCAGAAAAATAATATAATAATGTGATGGAAATCAGTAACTAGATTTCATTTTGTGTTACAATGGTCAATCCGTAGGATTCAAATATTACAAATAACGAACTGCACTTAATCCTTGAAATAAAAGACCTAAAAGACGGTTAGTTTCAGTGAATGGAATAAGGGAAGTTGTAGGTTTTTGTCAATCTGTCTTTTAAAAGAATCTGTATTGGATATCGAATATTGCATAAGTGGAGCAGTGGCTTATTGGCTCGGTCGTTGGACTTACAGCCAGTGGGTCACAGATTCGAGCTCCACTCCTGACTGAGTTTCAGTATACAACTTTGCATAGAAGTTCAGCACTTCAGGTTCCCTCATGCCATGTGGTACACAAGGGTAAACAAAAGAGAGAAAAGAAGGATTCAAAAGAAATATGATAAGCAGAAGTATGCAGGAGAAAGAAACGTAACATGGAAAAACATCAAGGTTTAGTGGATATATGAGGTAACAAACACTGAACGCATTTTCACAACTGAGAACGATTTCGAGTCATATGATTAATAGACTCAGACCATTGGTTATTGGCACTGAGACGATCACATTCAGGTAGCCTACATGACTGACTCAAATCAATTGTCAAAGGTCTCATGGATTGTTGCGAGGTTTTATTTTGACCACTCCTAACCCTTTTCTAACTTAATCTTATGTCAGCTAACATTGCTGGTCAAGGAAGGTGGTGGCTCGGTATGTGCAACATATGTTCTAGCTATCTCAATCGATGTAGCTTCATAACCTCGATTGACTTGCTGTTCCGTACCTAGCACTCAGCAACTAACCTCAGCATTGTTCACCATATTATACTACTTGACAGCAGATAGAACGTAAATATTTGTGGTCAAAGACAACTAGCCTCCTCAGGTTGTCCACTTCCGATGGCTATATTTCATAAACATGACGATGGATAGGGTGAGTTGCTGCGCAGCATACACGTGTTGTGATCGATAAGCAGATATCATGTACATGCAAAGGATGACATATGTTGTCGAATGCCACGCGAGCGTTTTGTATCCGTGATGAGACTTCGTCAGCAATCCATTCATTAGTGTTGATGCAACTTCCCAAATAAGTGAAGTGGTTAGCACACTCCTTATCCATAAATTAGGAGTCATTGAAAATCGAACCTAGAACTGTAGATGGTATATTAGTCAAGCTTATCCACTCACGATTACCACAGAGAGACTTGTCTCCCTCCTTATGAACTGGGATATTCGATGATTTACACTAGTCTAACAGAACTACCTCTGAATCTCACATATTATCTGACATATTAGTTAATAATAATATATATATTGACTTGACAAGTAAATGTGTGATCAGATTGTTCGAAATGTATAGCGCTAATACATCACATTTTTCAGATAATCTCCGTCTTCTAATAATGCTATCAAAATTTATAAAAGGGACTAACTGTTTTAAATAATAATAATAATTTGCTTTATTCCAAAACAGTACATGTGATACAGAATGGAATTCTCAGCATTTTTACTACAGTATTGCATCCAGTTAGTACATTATCAATAAATAGAATTCTACATAGATTAAGGAAATCACACTTCATTATTACAATAACACATTGGCATGTCGGTAGCAAAGGTAAAGCTGAAACAGTGTTTGAAGGTGTTAGAGAAGTGGGAGCTGTCTTATTAACTGGCGTAAGCGAGAGAAAGAAACAAAGCAGCACAACGGAAAAAGAAGAGAGAGAAAAGGAAAAGAGAGAAAGAAAATGTTGTACCTATTGATGATGTGAGTTGGAAAGACGAGATCCAGTTGTACTACTGACTATTTAATGAACTATAGGTGTCACGCCTAATGCTTTCTTTACCACACAGAACACGAGCTAAGTAGGGTATGGTTGAGTTTTTGTACTTGCTGGTGCGAGCATATAGTTTTCTATATTGGCTTCTGGTTTTACCTGATGAGATGCAAGGGGAAAGTTGTGAGTGAAGAGGGTGGTGTGAGTTAGATAAAATGGACTTGACCCATTTCTCACAGGAGTCCATGTGCCTGTCGACCAGAATATTAACAAGCTGGTTAAGTGGCACGTTGCTTACCCTGCTGACAACCTTTAACATCCTGCGTAATATGTTATAGTCTTTCTTCAGTAGCCCGGGAAAAACTAAGGGGGAACAATAGAGAATAATAGGCAGGATGCGAGAATTAACGAATTGCAGGAGTAAGGGTTGGGTTATACCAGAATGTTTTAACTTCTTGATGTAGAAGGTAAGACGGAATATTTTCTTAGAAATTGCTAAGATATGAGACGACCAGGAGAGATCAGCAGATAGAATGACACCTAGGTATTTAATTTCCGATTTGGTTTCTATTTCAGTGCCGTCTATGTTGCATACCTCGTGAGAGCCGACCAGTTTGTTTAGGTCAGATTTATGCCTAAAGGTGAAATTGACTGTTTGGCATTTGGAGGGGTTTAGGGTAGGACCATTTTCCTTGGACCACTGGCTGATTTCTGACAGAAAGCCATTAAGTTTAGAGCAGTCGCTTTGACATTTGACAGGCAAAGATACAGTCAGATCGTCAGCATATTTGACAAAATTAATGTCATTTGAAGATGGTAAGTCATGTAGAAAGAAAGAAAAGAGAAGTGGGGAGAGTACAGCGCCTTGGGGGACTCCGGCTTCAGTGAGTACAGCAGAGGATGATTTACCTTTGTATACGGTGTACTGCATTGTTAGAGAAGTAGGAATGCAGCCAGTTAGTGACCCAGGACTCGGTTTTTGTCAAAGAGAGCTTATTTAGCAGGAGACATCTAGGTACAGAGTCGAAAGCAGAAGTGAAGTCAAGAAATGTGCAGCGGACGTATTTAGCACCTTTATCTAATGATAGTTAGCCTTAACAATAGTTTGTCACCACCGTCCTTAAACACCACTAAAATTATTCCATCAAATCCTGCTGCTTTGTTTCGTTTTAGATTACAGACAGCCTTTGCAACTCCAGTTACAGTTGGAGGACGGGTGTCGACAATGCATTCAGGTAGATATTGGGTAAATTGGGCGTGACTGTAGGCTAGTTTAAATTGCTCCTCGAGGTGTTATCTCCAGCGTTCCAGCCTTTTATCCTGAATAACAGTTAAAGGTACCTCTTTCCTCGCTTATCATATGTCTTTTACAATCTGCTTCCCTAATGAACCTAAATAGCTGTCCAGAGTTACCTATCACCGATACCTTTCCCATTACTGACTTTTATCATTCGCCAATGTTCACCTTCTTTGCAGAGACTTAAAGTCAGCTTGCGTCTAAGCAGCTTTCTCTCCTCATCATGTTCTGAGTCCACATGAATCAGTCTTCTTGCTTCTGTCAGTTCAGATGGCGCAACAGAAATTCACTGGCATTTGCTAAACTTTGGTTTACGATCTGGACAACCTTTCCTACTGTTTCTTCAGCTGACTGAATATTTTGCCAGGTTTTCTCAGAATGAGTTTTGCTGTCAACCTCAGATACATGTTTAGCAATTTCTTCTTAAATAAAGACTGAGCGTTGTAATCGAGTTGGGAGCATAGTGGCATGATTGCTGCCTTTTTCTCCATGTCTGTTCTGTCCTAGTCAGACAGGAGCACTCAATAGGCGTGATCGAAGTCCACGCAGGTATTCCAAAAGGAGCGGCAGTCTTCTGTCGACACTCCTCATCTACAGCCTATTGCTATATGATCCATTTTCGCCCATCATTGACTTGATAATGGGGACTGCCAGGTGAGGCAATGTCTCTTTATGCGTGCAGCTAGTGCTGACCAGTGACAGATTATCTGAACAAAACTGTAGAAGACGAAAAAAAGTTCTTTTTTTCTACCTTTATTTGGTGTATGGAGTGTAGCAACTTAAGCTATTGCACTTCTGTGCAAATTTCTATGTTGAAACTCACTCAGTCTGTCAGTGTATCCATTACTAAGAAGGTAGTTAAAATTAGATGAGTTGGTTTCATTAGTCCAAGGTACTCATGAATTACGTCTGTATGTTCAATCTAGGCAATACTACTAGATAAAACATTACCAAGTTGCAGGAAATACAACAGATTGCATTCAGTTTATTTCAGACTTCATCCACTTTCTTAAGAAAATACTTTTTCACTGTGTTTCAAACAGGTTTTACTCGGTGGTGGTCAAGAAGCCCATGAAGTGACAACTACAGCTGTTGGACAGGGAAAATTCGATGTTAGATTCTACCATCTCATTTATCAAGAAGAGTTTGGACGTGTTAAAGGTCATTTCGGTCCTGTTAATAGTGTAGCTTTCTTACCGGATGGCACTGGGTGAGTGTGAATGCTTTTTTAATTTAAAAAAAATGAATTGATCTCAGCTAATTCCGTTCGTATTTGTTCTGTGCTTTTCGAACTCACGTAAGTACTCCTGCCTAGGGCAGAGATGTAATATTTGTCTACATTACTATTCTTCTTCTCCTTCTTCCTTTATCAATGTTCTTGTTTGCTCGTCTTAGATTACTTACTTAACTCTTTTTTAAGATGGTGACCAGACTGTAGTTGGGGAGCTCACTAAATGGTTAGGTAAGGTTTGATGTATTCACTGTCCCGTCAATGTAGAATAAGAGTCTACGTAACGCATAGGAGAATCATTGGAGTACTTGTATGTTACCAGCTGTATCAAATTGGAGATGTACCTCCTTCACTTAAGTACTTGTCTTTAAGCCGATACACCCATGCTGTAAATCCTGTTCCCCCTACTTCGTCCTAAGAAATCTATCCTGATAGCTTAATTCTAACAACATTTACAATGGCCGCTGTCAAGCTCGATAGGCTTTGTGAAACTCGATTTGTGAAAAGTGAGGTGAGTTTCTTTAATGTTATTAAATGCATCAACCATCGGTTCATACTCCGGTGGTTGGTAGGACATGGTCACATATAGTGTTACGGCACCGTCGAATGAGATAGTTGTTTTGGGTAAGCATTCGTTAGTTCTTGTTGTTGTGGGTTAGATACCTTTACACCTCTCTGCCTACTGGATGTTCACTTGATATCTTGTCTTCGCTGCTTTTACTGCTACTATGGTCGTATAAGTCTGGTGGAACAAATCACTGCTCTCATCTGTCGGTTCTAGATTTGCTACTCAGTTGCTCGAAGTTATGGCTTATTTGCTTGTTCACTTTCCTACTGTCAACCAAGTTAGTCATGAGAGAAGTAACGAAATGTTACTCAACAACCGCTTGCTTTTCCATTCAGCTGGCTATGAGCCACACCTATGGTATGCGAGGATTAGTGATGCTACCTGGTTGCCGAAACCCTCGGTAGGTAGAGTGGAGTTCAAATCTGTATGACTGACTAGATAAAAATCGAGCACCTAGACCAATGAGACACAACTCCACGCTAGTTCGGTCATGGATATCGCTCAGGTTTCATTCACCACCTATTATGGAAACAGTCAGACCGTATCATCAGTGCTAATCCATTTCCCAGTTTTGAATATTGCTAGGTTGTTTGAGGAACACTTCATTTTTTACACTGTCTTGTTGCTTAGTGGGGTTCAGTACTTTCCAATTTCGTGAATTCATCCAGCTGAAGTTGATACAGTCCAGGAAGGTTCTGAATCATAGAACATCCAACTTGTATTGAACTGTGTGAGTTGAAGCGCTCCAGTATTGTGATTCTGGTGCTTTTCTGTCATCCATCAGTGTTACTCTCAGTTGTCAATATCTTTCTTATTCTGTTTTTGTAGATTTGCAACTGGTGGAGAAGAAGGCTATGTTCGACTTCATACATTTGACAATGACTATGCTGATATCGACCAACGTCTATTTTGAAGAAAAAGAATACTTCTGCTATGTGGTTTCTTTGTAACTTTTGTCAACATTTCATTGAAATACAAGATGTTTCAGAAGCCTATTTGGTTAAATTCTTATTAATAAAATAGGAATGCATATGACATTTGAGACAGATACTCGCAAATGGTCGTCGTACTATGTTGGTAACTGGTTAGCAATTGGAACCCAGGACTGCTCTACCTGGGAAAAACAAGTGTTTACGTTTCTGCGTTGGGAACTCAGTCATCCCGCCTAAGTCAACGAGGTATGTTACATATTTATTGATCCTAGTACATAAACACAGCCATTCATACGTACTTGAATAGTTTAGCGACATACCGGCTGCATCTGGACGTATTCAGGCTTATACGTAGATCGCATAATTTGTCTTTTACCTAAAAAGTAGGTACCTGGTACAACGCGTAAGTGGGTTTAGTAAGCTTGGACTGCTTTTGAGCAGTCAGGCATATTTAATGATAGCTAACTGATCTCAAATTTATGTGCCACTTTAAAGTGACTTATGCATTTTAATTTCTAATAAAATTCTCAAGTTATTCTACCTGACTGGTAGCTGCTACCTTGACGTGATGGTCGGACATGCATACCGCAATGACCCAACTACGAGCTACACAGGCTGGAACTAGCTTTCCTGAAGACCCTAACGTGCCAGTGAGGTCGTTTGAACTAGAATCAGTTACCACCGTAGTGCAAGTCATTTACATGCAAATGCCTGTGATTGAACGGGCATAAAAACAGGCGGCAATGAAGCCGCTACGTCTCCAACTTAATGAGAAGAAAGTAGCCAAACGCATATCTGAGACTGATATCAAGAGTCATCCCGAAGAAGCCTTACATAATATCCAGTCATATGTAGGAACAAAGACTGTTGATAATCTAAAACCAATTTTTGAGCAGATACCAGTGGCGTGGTGTTGCTTCTTCCGAAACGATAGATGCAAGAAGACTGATTCTGGCAGGATCCAAACATGATGAGGAGCGAAAGCAGTTCAAAAGCAAACTGACCAAAAGTTTTCGCAACGGCAGTGGATATTCGTGAACCACAAAAGCAAGAGATGGAAAATGCATTGGAAATAGCACTAGACAACTATTTAGGTTTATCAGAGGAACAGGTTGTAAAGGACAGGATAGATGAGACAGTCTCTGATAAAAAATGGCGCTTTAGTTACTTCTCAGGTTAGAAGGCTGGAACGTTGGGGGGAACACTGAGGATTTCGACATCGGTCCTCAAACTGTAACAGGTAACAAAGGCTGTCTCTAATCGGAAGTGTGGGAAATTAGCAGAACTCGGTAGAATGACTCCAGAAGTATTTAAAGAGAGGTGGTGATGAACCTTTTTCTGCGTTAATGAAGGTGTTAGGTAATGTATGGAAATCAGAGGTAGTCCCGCCAGATCGATGTAAATCATTGATTATGCCAGTTTATAAGGGAGACAAGTATCCTTATAATAATCACGGGTAGATAATCTCGACTAATATAGTATCTAAAGTTTCTGATTTAATAATCATGCGTAGACTGAGCGGTATTCGGGAGAAACAAACTGGGCAGGCGTTAGGTTAGGATGAGATTGTATTGGTCATGTCTCCGCCCTTCAACAGATTCTGGAACATAGGTTAACTTACCGGCGTCCAACACTTTACTGATCTGAAAGTAACATTTTACTCAATCGATTGAGAAGTGGTGTGGTAATGTTTGGCTGTAAAGGGAGTGCTAAGAAGCCATATCGTATTAATCAAAGCAGTTTACTCGGACTCACGCAGTGCTATCATCTGACGTGATGACAAACTGGCATTCGTCAAGGGTGCCTACTGTCCACACTTTTGTGTAATTTTATCATAGATATACTAATGGAATCGACTTTTACTGGCCTTAGCGATTTAAGGATTGACTTGTTACCAACGTGTAGTCTCGTCAATCTAGAGTATGCAGATGATACAGTCCTCCTAGATGAAGACGCTGACAAAAAGCCGAGATTCCCGAACATGTTCAGCAAAAATCTTCGAAAGTTTTTTTCATTGAAATCCCCCCTGTTAAATGTAAATACACGACTGGTTTGGATTGACTCGCAGTTTAAATATAGGGAGTGAATTTTTTAAGCGTGTTTAACAATTCATTTATTTGGGGAGCTGCATCAGCCCCAACAGATTGATTTTTGAGTAGATCTCAACACAGATACAAAAGGCTCATGTGTCATTTACCAACTTATTTCATCTGTGATGTGGTCGTGATATCCGGTTATCGATTAAAGGACGCGTGTACTGCGCAGATTTCTCTGTTCTACTTTATGGCTCTTAGACATGTTAATTGGATGTGGAAGATATGAAGAGGTTAGCTGTCTCTGACCACAAATATTTACGTGCTATCTCTTGTGTCAAGTGGTATGATTTTCAGAGTAATATTGAGATATGCCATTTTAGTGAAGTTGGTTATCTTACAGCTATTTAAATATACTCATTCTGTAACAACAGAAGACAAGGGCCAGGCAACAGATCGTTTATCAGGGAAAATCAATACATTTATAGATTTTAATGAACATTATTGTAGATTATTGTTAGTATAAAATACAGTCTTTTGATTGGTTGTTTCTCACAGAAAGTTAACCTTCCATCCCTTTGTGGCTGTGTCAGATCATCCATATGCTGACTGTATCCGCCTACGCAAAGCCTTTGTTCTCATTTTCTCACCACCAATATTGGGGAGATAAACATTGACGTCAATTACTGTCTACCAACTTTGGCTAGCTCTCACCATAATTCCTCTGGGTGCCTATTCTTTAACTTTGCTGATAACTGTAGCCTCACCTAGGCGTTACTAGTAGAGGAAAGGTTGGGATTGAGGCTGGCAACCCCATCCGGTAAAAAAATGAATAAAACCTCTGCTAGTGAAACTTTAAAGTTGAAGTCCTATGTTCCACTCGGAACGCAAAGAATAAAATAAATACTGATAATAATACATCCTGATAGAATAATTATAGGTCAATTGCCTACCGAACAAGGGTAAAATAAGAAGAGTTTGGTCAAATATGCATTAGATATAGGCAAATATACTTTTATGCAAATCACAAAAGAACAAAACACCACCGCCCTCCACACCCACTCCAATTCAGTATCGTGAAGTATCATGTTCAACGATAGAGAAGTCAAGAGAACCATAACAAAACAGCATATACAGAAAAAAAATTAGCAGTGTTATGAAGGCATAAATACAGAACACCCTTTGTACAACATAATAAAAAAATCGTCACATCCTCTGACACATACACACATATAGGTATGATGGTTATATCTAGCTAGGATGGCAAAGTCCAAATAACTCTCTGTATGTGCATATATAAATATATCATAAATACAAAATCTGTTCTGCTATGTATTATTATTATTATTAAAAGTATTTGGCATGAATAGTATATGAAACATGAAATGATGCTCACTATAATATATGTTACAATAGTGACAATAACAGTAATCAATAGTGTATACCTGGTAGGATAAAAGAGTTGCCCAATAAGCTGATGGTAATAATTGTAAACACTGACGCACACACACAATACAATGAGAATAAATGAAATGAAGGCTGGTAGAGGAGAATCTTAGGTACGTACACACACGCCCGCTCATACAGAAAATCAGGCAAATGTACAAGGCGCTTTTACAAATATGTATAATGAACAAATGAATGAAAATACTTTCATATTATAGTTTTAAGCGTTCCAACGGCATTATATAGGATAATTTAGACTCATCTGGAGTTTTTGCTGATTTGTTGTTACTGTTGTTGTTGTTAGTTATGCATAAATTAGTTTTAGGTGATGTTGTCGTTAGTGTGAACGAACGACTCATTGTTGCAGAAGTCTGATTAGGTGATTTTGTAAGCATATCTATTGATTCATTATTGTGGTGATCATGATGATATGTCTGTGACAGAGGTTCAGCCATCTGTAAAGTGGAAATTTCAAAACAAAAAAACCAATATTAACATTAACCGTATATCATGTAAAAAATGTATAGTACTCAGTTATATATAATCTGAATACAGTTGTATACGCATAGCCTCCAAAGCCTCAGGATGGTCGGGGGTGAGTGCCTTGCGCTGCGGGTTGGCCACCCCTCCGCACACCTCTTGAAATGCTCCCATATGACCGGGCATCTTACATAGCCTCTCCTGAGGAAGTCCTACTCACTGCCTTCACGTGGCGGAGGTGTTTTTCACCAAAATAAGAGGGCGAAAGCGGATGCCCGGCGCTCTTCACCGGGTTGACTGTCCATTGGATGACAGTCTAGGGGAGATGGCTAAACCCTGATTCCAAACCTCCAACGACTGGCGTATGAAGCTCACCGGCAGACGTATGGACAAAGGGCTTGTTGGATGTCCTAGAAGTCTGGCCCCATTCAAAAAGGCGTATGAACCGAACTCCGGTCACCGGCTGCCAATGGATAGTGGACGCCCTACTCCACTCCTACTGCCTTGTAGGTCACACTTGGTTGTGTAAAGGCTAGAGCTGCACTCTCAAACAAAAGGCCGAGCGATTCTGGGGACATCACTCGTACCAAATTCCCATGAAACTTCATGAACTCTCCCAGACTCGAGGTAGCAGACCATTGGTGCCTTAGGTACATTCTGCATGTTCGTTGGCAGGACAAACTCTCCAACGAAGAAGTGCGTCGTCGTTGCTACAACATCAACCAAATTCCAGTACTGGTCCAACAACGTCGCCTTCGGTGGTTTGGCCATGTTCTGCGCCGGCCAGATGACGATCTGGTCAAATCAGTTCTAAATCCCTCGCCATTACCATCTTGGCGATGTCGCAGGGGTGGACAGCTGAAAACATGGCTTGGTACAGTCAATGCTGATATGGAGTGCCTGGGGTTACAAACCGCCTACGGACTCCGTCTGTGGAACAAGAATTGGATAACCCTGTCGCAAAACCTTGCATCAGATCGCCGCGCCTGGGCAGCGATGATTCGAGATGTTCATGAAGCCGGCTCATCCTCCCGTAGGAGATAGCCGAAGTAAAGTAAGTAAGTGAATACAGTTTGTTGAATTAGTGTTCACTCAACTACCGATCATCGAGATCAAGAATGCTAGTCCTATTTCACCTATTAAAGCTTGAATAGTCAGTATCACCAGCTTCAAAACACCTGTAATACATTTTCAGAGATTTTAAGTTAAGCTCAACAGCTGTACTATCGCAGTTTATATATATAGACTCCAATCTTCCTATTAAAATACTGTCATGCAGGTAAGCGTTAATAGCCTTTGCCAGATAAGTCCTATTCACTACCTTCACATTGAATGAGGCGTTCTCACGAAAATGAAAAAGATGAATGTTCTGTGTTCATAACCGGGTTGGTGGATATGAAAACTCACCTACGGGAGATGGAAATCTTCATTTCAAACCTAGAGGGGTCATCGGCTCCAGAAAGGAACGAATGGTGCATGAACTTATTTTGATCACCGGAGACCGTGGGAAAGCACCCCTTGGCATTGCCCTGCTGCCTTGTAGATCACACGTCAAGTCAAAAGCTCAGGGAGCGGTCCCTTAAGACAACTAGCTGCTTCGGTCTGCGCGTCCGGACAATAACGCAGTCCACGCACAAATCATGGGACAATAACCAATGCAAAAATCTACTCGCATGCAGAATTATTACAAACCACTTCTTCAATCATATGTTTACTAACTTAACTCCTGATTAATGCTATCTGTATTGCGCAAATGTCAACTAAACCTTGCAATTATAATGATACATCTTTGGAAACATTCCTTTTGTTGCTATGACAATGCACCGTAAATATTTGCAACTATACAGCTTGAAAGGAGTAACCCTTTGCTGAACGTCTCCCCTTTAATATGCCTTGATGGGGATTTTTATTTTTATATATTAACCCCTTTGTTTTATTTTTATCATCTTTACGGATTCTGATGTATTCACTTTAGTCAGGTTTTCGCTATTGCTTGAAATCTCAACCTTATTTGTACCGTTTCCAGTCGCTAGTTAGCTGCCTATAGAATGTCGACCTCCACTGAGTTATTTAACACACCTATTCTGAAATTGCGTAATGTGTTCAAGGTAGTCACACACCGATCCAAAGCGTGCACAACAGGCAAACCTGACCAGTACCCTAGAAAGTTTCGCTGTCAATGTTTGCAGCACTTTATAAAACCCCATGCAAGATCCTATCAAAGTGCTTCGGTTGTCTTTTCCACCTGCACCTTTGAAGATTATACCATATGTATTTATCCGGGATCATATGACATCAGCATCCAGTACTCAGTGTCAGTAGTACGTTACGAGCTAGATCTGAAGCCACGTTACTCGAATGGACCCCCATAAAGTATTGTCTAAACGCTATCAGTCCAGGAGGTTATACTAGAGCAAGAAGCGGCCAGCCACAGAAGTGTTGCCTGTTCGTCATTTCTATCTGTGCACTGAGAGATTATGGCTTGGATGCAATTAATTATGAATTCGGCCCTTAACTGAATGAGCTTTTTAAGCAGTACCGTTCTAAAAATGTCGTTGGGCTAACTGGGAACTTAAATGCACAGGTCTATGCTTAGAAAAGGGTCATTTAGGTAGTCAATGGACACTAGATGATCACATGTCAGACAATGGAAATTGCCTTCTGAGGATCTGTGCAAACAAAAACCTCTTCCAAGCCAGCACCAACTTTCAGTACAGAAACTGCCATACGCACTCTCCCACTCAGGCATGGACTCAAATAGATCGTATAGTTATCAGCTACCGTCGGTGTGCGTGTATGCAGGACTGATGATTCTTCCAGATATCTATTAACCCCTCATATAGAAATGGTGAACACTGACTTCACTGACAAGTTGCCATAAAAATTAGAAGGATGTTAGTGATGTATAATGACGTTCCGTTACAAAAGCAGTAGTTTCCTGTAAGTCCCTTGAGACAACTACAAGCCTGTTGGTCCATTTCGGTGGATAGCATGTGCAGTAACCTGGGTAAGGCTCTCAGACACAAGATCAAACGGACCGTGAAACTTGATGATCAGAACGTGTTTGTGAGATGGAATCAGAGGCTACATCTTTTCCAGTTTACAGCAGCAAAAACCATGGTGCTAGCATAAGAGTCTGTGAGGAAGATGATGTGCCGATTTGTAATCTTAGTATAAGCCACAAAACTTCAACTAACCTAATACAGAATCAACATGTTTATCAATACCTATCGACTTACCAAGTCAGCTAGTGTTTTTGGTCGACCATGCCTATGTCGAAAACACGATGATGCTGTTGATGATGACTTTAGGGAGGAATTATTCACTAGATGTTTTCTAACCTTGCGATTAGTATTACCTTCATTAGAATCACATGGTACACACGAAATTGCATTACAGTTAGGTAATGTCTTCTTGTCATTATTACTATTATCAAAATCTTTAGATATCCCTCTTGAATCTGAGACGGAACAACCATCATCAATAATACGGTCACCAGTAAATGGAATAGAACAATGATGAGACGGTGATGACGATGTAAGTGTCATAACAATACCGACATGACTAGAAGTAGTAGGACTATTGGTTGTTGCCGTTGCTGTCGTTGTATACAATTTAATAAGTTCACTTAATATGTCTACAAAACTTGGTCTGTGATTTGGTTCACTCTGCCATGTACGTAACATAAGTGAGTATATTGTTGATGGACAGTTTTCAGGTGATTTCATTCTGTATCCGGATTCAATATGACGCAATACTTGATTAGCCATCTGAAATAATAATAGCAATAATAATAACACATTAAAGACGAAAAGTAAAAAAAAACTTAATATTCCATCTACCAATAAATACATTCTCGTACGCAAGCGCAAAGCGTACGAGAAAATAGAATCCCCTTGAACATGGTTGATGGCTTCTGAGAAACGTGAAACATAAGATATACATGCTTTGGGTGCACATTAAGCAGTAACTATTGTCATGTGTCTAGTCCTTGATCTCAGTGCAGACCGAATTCTATCAGAAAAGTTTGCTACGTGATTACATGCTAGCTGGTGGGGGCACACTGAATTGATGTTAGATGGTTGGAGATAATCATTGGTAGGGAGACCTAGACCTAGGTTTCATGGTTGTTGGCATTGACCAGCCTGCAAGGCGTATCTGCAATCTTGTAGGAGCTCAGGTCCTCTCTGACATTCAAACCCACGTCATCCAGTGGTGTTGCAGTTAGAGACGCAAAGTCATTCGATCTTGTAACTGACCTCTTGTAGGACTGTAATGGATACTTTAATTGGACACCCAGGATGGTGGCCACATTGCAAACTCGACTGATAGAATTCAGTCTAAGCCAACAACAAGGATTAGAAGAATGACACTGACTATTACCTAGTTACCGACTAAAGTATCCATTACAGTTCAACAGGAGGTCAATCGTGAGCCCGAATAGCTCTAACGTCTTCGACTGCTACACCGTGTGCCACAGGGTTCGAATCTCAGGAGGGAGATGAGTTTCCTTCATGACTGCAGGTACGCCTTGTACACTGGTGAGTGTCACCAAGCAAGAAACCTAGGTTCAAGGTTTCCTTGCTGTACACAAGAAAAACTGAACTGTTTATACATATATAAGCGGTCTACCCAATCCCTCTTACAACCGTGGTGGTAACTTTCCTTCGTTTTAACTCGTACAATAATTTGGTATTTAATCCATGATCATTCGGTTTCTGTTTTCTTCTTATGCTTTCCTTTCAAACATCCTAATTTTACAATATATTTCCTGAATACTTTGAATCTCCTACTCTTTTGGAGCAATAATCCTATTTCCAAACGCTTATAGTTTTTAATGGTAATCGTTTCTGAGCGATACTCACTACTTGTTGCTTTTAGATTGAGTAATTCATTATTTTTTTATATACAATTTCATATGCTTTATTACCAAATGATATGAACAAATGACTTTACAGGCATTTCCATGACCTTTTAGAACATGAAATTACTGCACAGCCTTGAAGTTAAGGGAAAAAACTCTTTGCTGACCTACATATAGTTTTCATTTCAATTTCAATACTATTGTAAAGAATTATTGATTTCTGTTACCGAATTCATATTTAGTACATAAACGTCAATAGAAAAGCTATATTGATTAAAGAATAGTGCATAGATTAGGACAACATAATAAAATTCGATTGAGAAATAATTTTACCAATATTCTGTACATATGATGACAGGTTATCCTTAATAACTTCAATAAAAATTTAACGCATAAACATACACTATTTTCATACTACCTATAAATAATAATTATCACGACTGTTCCCCCAGGTTTTTAAGTATAACATAGTGGAACGGTAGAAGACGACGACTTGGTAAAGGAAAGGAATGTCTATTTAGAAATTGGTATCTCTACATAGCCAAATTATGCATACCTTATCTTCAACGCACCATTTGCACAGGTTTCCATGCGGTGGTACTTACTTCTGGACTTCAATGTTGTGTTTCCTTATGTTCCTTTCATATCGCTCATCTATCTCCCCGCTATATGATGTTTTTATGCTGTTGTCTCTTATATACACTACTGATAAATCTTATCAGTAGCACTCATCACAATAGGACTTCAACAACTTATCTCCATTTCATCCTGCTCCCTGAAGTTCTTCTTAGCAAGTGCCACCACTGCCCATAAGCTTACATCTCCTCCTCACACGACCTCCTCCACATCACACTTGGACCCACACTCAACTCATCGTTTCCAGTTCGGGTTCCACATGAGCGCCTGGTGCGTAATTTCACTCAATGGTTTCCTCAGTGTGTATCCAATCCATTTCCTTCGGCATATTTGTTAGCCAACAGGTCCTTGTTCAGCCAGTTACAAGGATACCTTGGTAATAATCATTTTTAGCCGACCATCCGATGTTCAATACGAAGCGAAGGCAACTGTTGATAAAAGTCTACAGCAGGCCTGTTTGAAATGCTTTTGGTGAGGCTACAAGTCTCTGAACCATATCGAAGAACTGATTTGACATCAGTGTAGAAAATCTGAATATTGTTCTCCATGCTGAGTGGAGCACATTTCATCACTGATTTCATCTTAATGAAGGTCTGTCTCCCTTTTTGGATGCTGGTCAACTGTGACATCCCCATTTGTGCTACCTGCAGTTGAAAAGAGGCTGTCTAGATAAGTTCACTTGACGTAGTTTCTTAGCCACCTCTCCTGCCAACTTGTTGGTTTTCACCTGTAGATCTTCCAGTTGGAATAATATTAGAGATAAATCAACCGAGAAATACATACAGATATAGGGGCTTTTTGTCTGTCCAACGTAAGCCCATTTCGCTTACCACAGGACCCAAGTATGGTGGTTATTCACTTCACCTAACGTACCCAACAGACTGAATCTACAAAACTCCCCATCCTACAGGTGGCAGGACATAAGTATAAAACTTGGGCACTGTACTAGAGCATAACTCCATTATGGATAAGATTTTATTTTGATAAATCACACAGTGTTGTACAGTAATATTTACTGATGACGTTTCAAGCATAAACTATTGCTCATAATCATATCAAGTTACTCACACAACTTTTTTCCTTCATTTATATACATGTGTGGAATCGATTAGATCTTGGAATAAAAATCACTATGAGATAATTTACATTCAGAAATAATAATATGAGTGTTATTAGTCAATTACAATCAGATGGGAAATAAGACAAGTGTTTTTATATTCGTAATGAGTTACTTGTTAGAATGTTGTGACAGACACTTAACTAAGCCTGCATTAACAGTTAACGGATGAGACGAATTAAAGTCTAAATATCTATTAGAATGCGTTGGTTTTCTATAAACACGAGTGTGTAGTTTGCCTTCTTCTATTCGTTTTATTTTACAATCTAACATGGCTAATTCTCCTTGTTCATTTTCCGATTCAAATGTGAATTTTATTCCCTCTACTAGTGAGTTTATATGTGTCAAGAAGCTGGACATATGTACGCCCCAACAGATTGCAGTTCGGATGAATTAAAAGATGACTTCTACCTGAAACTGTCTAATTCGCAGCAAAAAGTAAAACGTTCAGACTTCAATGCCCAAGTAGGGAAGTTGAGCCAGACTGAGAAGTATGTAGGTGGTACGTATGGAGTTCCCTGCCGACGAACCGACAACGGTGATAGTCTTCTACAGTTTTGCTGAGATAATCATCTGTTCCTAGTGAGCACTAACTTTAGGCACAAAGAAAGACATTGTGTAACCTGGCGACCTCCATCACCAAATCAACGCTGGACTCAGATAGACCACATAGCCATAGGGTACCGTTGGCGAGGGTCACTAGAAGAATGTCGCTCCTTCTGGAACACGTACGTAGACTCTGATCACGCTCTGGTTCGCGCACGTTTATGCTTACGACTAAATGCACATAAGAAATTGATGGCAACGAAACAGTTACGTCCCCAACTAGATCGAGACACTGAGTCCTTATTTAAGGAAGAAATAGCGAAACGAGTTTCTGAGGTCGACAGCAGGACTTCCCCTGAGGTAGCCTGGCATAACATACAGTTAGCTGTGGACACAGCCGTGAAAGCTATCAATAAGCTAAAACCTAAAGTTAATAAAAGCCATTGGATCTCTACCGCCCCATCCGAACTGATTGACGCAAGAAAACTGATTCCAGCGAGCTCCGATTATGATGAGGAGCGAAAGCTACTCAAACGAAAACTAACAAGAAGTGTTCGCAAGGGCCGTGAACAGTGGTGGGCGATAAAAGCGAAAGAGATGGAAAAGGCATCGGCGATCGGCAACACCAGACAACTATTCAGGCTTATCAGGGAAACAGGTGGCAAAAGGCAAATGATAAGCGAAACAATCTCGGAGAAAAATGGCACCATAATTAGCTCCCAGGATAGACGACTGGAGCGCTGGAAAGAACACTATGAGGAGCAGTTTAATTGGCCTACAGCCACACTTAACTTGCCGAACATCCAACACCTCCCTGAATGGGATATAGACACAGGTCCTCGTCCTTAACTGAGGTTACTAAAGCTGTCACTAATCTGAAGCAAGGCAAAGCAGCGGGACCTGATTTATTGACTCCAGAGGTATTTAAGTACGGTGGAGACAGTTTACTGTCTGCATTAACTGAGGTTCTAGACAGCGTCTGGGAATCAGAGGAAGTCCCATCGGGTTGGTGTAAGTCACTGATCATCCCGATATACAAGAAGGGAGACAAGTCCTCTTGTGATAATCACAGAGGGATTAGCTTGACTAATATAGTATCTAAAATCCTAGGCTCAATAATACTGCGTAGACTAAGTGGTGCTCGGGAGGCTCAAACACGGGAAAACCAGGCAGGTTTTAGGCCAGGAAGAGGGTGTATTGATCATATCTTCACCCTTCGACAGACTCTAGAACATAGGCATTCCTACCGGCGTCCGACAATCATTATATTTCTTGACCTAAAGGCGGCATTCGATTCTGTCGACCGAGAGGTTCTCTGGCGATGCTTAGCTGTAAAGGGAATGCCGAGAAAATACATAGCACTGATTAAGGCACTCTACTCGTACTCATGCAGCTAGGTGAGGGCGTATGGAGAGTTGTCATCTGAAGTGGTGACGACTAGTGGCGTCCGTCACGGATGCCCATAATCCCCATTCCTATTCAACTTCATCATAGACGTACTAATGGACTTAACCCTAACACTCTTCAGCGACTCAGGGATTGACTTGCTACCAGGGAATAATCTCGTCCACTTAGAATATACGGACGATATAGTCCTTCTAGGCGAGGACGCTGACAAAATGCAGAGTCTACTAAACACCCTGAGCAACAATCTTCGTATGTTTGGCATGCAATTCGCCCCTGTAAAATGTAAGATGATGCTGCAGGATTGGACTTCACCGACCCCTAGATTAGAAATAGGAAGTGAAGTGGTAGAGCATGTTGACCGCTTCACTTACTTGGGAAGTACTATCAGCCCCAACGGGTTAATCTCCGACGAAATCTCAGCACGAATACAGAGGGCTAGTTTCGCATATACCAGTTTACGCCGTCTCTGGCGTAGACGCGATATCCGACTTTCGACCTAGGGGCGTGTGTACTGCTCAACAGTCCGCTCCGTCCTCCTTTATGGCTGTGAGACCTGGCCATTGAGAGCGGAAGACATGAAAAGATTAGCTGTCTTCGATCATAGGTGTCTGCGTTCTATCTCCCACGTGAAGTGGTATAATAAGGTGAGCAATATTGAGGTTAGGCGTCGAGTGCTAGGTAAGGAGGGGAAATCAGTGGACGAGACTGTGAAATTACATCGACTGAGATGGTTAGGACATGTGTTACGTATGCCTAGTCATCGCCTTCCTCGACGGGCAATGTTAGCTGATATAGGGCCAGGCTGGAAAAGAGCTAATGGCGGTCAAACGAAAACATGACACCAGTCAATGAAATCCACAACAGTTAGTCTAAGCCAACCACGTAGGAAGGTGTAGACTTCCTGGTTGGGGTCCTCAGGACGGTAAACATCAATGAAGGCTGGAGACAATTGGTGATATGGCTCAAAATCGTTCTTAGTGGTGCAGATTTATCCAGTCCTTGTGACTTATAATTTTCAATGAAACTACATTGATCTTTGTTATTACTATTCCTTTTGTCTCATATCGCTACCTACTGTCTGTATTTTTCATTTCTTCTCTTACTTTGTATGCTACATGGAGTGTGGTGACTTGAACTGCCGCACATATGTACAAAGTTCTATGTCGAAAACTGACCGACCGACCGGTCGGTTTCTGACAAAATAAATAAGAGAGAATGTAAGTTATCCACTGTTATACCATATAAAGAGGGGATATCTGAGACCCTACGTAGGATTCTTAATAAAGCAGGAATTAGGGTGGCATTGAAACCTACAAACTCACTCAGGGACAAGCTCTGTAGGTTAAAGGACCCAGTTGACCCAATTAGACAAAATAGTATAATTTACAAAATACCCTGCAATCACTGTGAAGTCAATTACATAGGTCAGACTAGTAGGTCAGGGGTAGTCCGATTGTCAGAACATAAGAATTTAGCTAAGGTAAGAATGGTTGACCCAGAGAAGATAAGTAATTTAGAAAAAAGCTCAGCAATTGCACAGTGTGCATTAACACACAATAAGGTGGGAGAGGATTAAGATTCTCATAAGTAATCTAGGTAGGTGGAGAGAGAGGTTGATTACTGAATCCTTGTTCATTGAATCTACACCCAACCTATGCAATAGGAATGATTCATCACTCATACCCGAAAATGGAAAATATTACTACCAATCAAATCAAGTGAAAAACAATGGAACTGTATAAATGAATTTAGGAAGTCGTATGATTACCTTGATATGATTATGAGCAATAGTTTGTGCTGGGAACGTCATCAGTAAATATTACCGTACCGTGATTTATCAAAATAAAATTTTATCCACAATGCAATCGAATTAGGAGTTTATACAGTTCGAGGAGGTGAAATCTCATTACAATTTCCTTTGTAAACCGAAACTATTCAGGTAACATCTTGTGATAGATTCGATACCACACATAGCAATCAAGAAGGCAAGCATGCAACTATATACTAGTGATGCATTGAAATGAGTGTTATATACCACTTTGATCTGGCTAGCGAACACCACTCATTGGTTGATATGAGTGGCATACAACTGATCATTTCAATCAATCAGTAGTTTGCGGTTTCGTATATCAGGATATTCGCTGCTATTATCCAGGAACATACTGACTTAGGAATCACGCAATAAGTCCTACACAACGGCAGACTCACTGATCGACTGGATTTCAGTGAACGGTAGTCTCTGTGTGCTATTCGATCCCATGGACTAGTAAATAGAAGGATATATCGCGATACACAGACTGACTGCAAAGGCAAAGCACAAGTTCTATCAGGAACTGTCTGGTTTACTGAAAGAAGCAAAGCCCTTATACAAAGGTAGTGCCATTAGATGGTGATTTCAATAACCGAGGATATTTTTAGGTACTTATGGAGTCCTTCTGGTTAATAGACTGAAACAGATGATCAAATTTTACATTTTCGCTCAGATAATCACCGCTTCTTGGACAATAATAATTTTAAGCATACGAATCGATAATACCTAACGTTCCGATTGTTAACATAACGCCAAGGGTAAATATTTCAGGTATGAGTTATCGACGCAAGACTGCCTCACTGGCCATGAGCATCAGTCCGTACATGTGTACATCAACAACTGTGAACGGACGCCGAACATAAGCGGCTGAGAACTTCTACTTGTGTTCTTTACTCAAGGATGAGTTAAATAAAAGCTTATTTGAGCATGACAGATGAATTTCTCTTAAGGAAACCAAGCGAAATGTGCAAACAGCTGTAGAAGCAGCCGAAAATCGGTAAAAGCCAGTAAATTCTACCCAGCATCATGTCAACTGATACATGTAAGTAGATTATTCCTAACAGGCTCCAGACACGACAAAGATCGAAAGTTACTTAAATTTAAGCTAATTAGAAATCTTTGTAATGACCGAAAGTGGAAGAAATATAACAGGCATCAACACCAGGTAATATGCGTCAACTATTAAGGATTGTTAAGGAGACAGGTAAAAAAGCTGGAATGCTAGGTGGGACAACTTACAAAGCACTTGATATAGCCTTCAGTCGTGTCACAGTTGTCCGTCGCCCAATTATAGCCTGCATGGAATGTAGCCATTAACACTCTAACCATAGCCGAGTTTATGAATGCAGCATTTAGTCCAAAGCAAAATAAAGCAGATGAGCTTTATTGTTTGACGCTTAAGAAGTGTTTAAGAATGCGTTGGTGATCAGTTATTGATTAGACAACCTACAGTGATAATTAGTGTTATATGCCAGTCCGGAAATGAACCGATCAATTCTTCAGTTTTCTATCTCTCCACATAAATTTAGTTTGGATAAGTAATTTGTGTCACAATTTTTCCCTGGCAAAGTAGATTCTCCTTTCAATCATTTGATAATGCATATTTTACAAGTACCATGTTCAATGCATACTGAGCATAATATTTGATTTTTTTTTCATTCGTTTGCATTTCGAGTGAAACATAGGGCTACAAGCTTGAGGTTTCAGTAGCGGCAGTGTTGTTTCTACGGTGTGCAGTTTGCTAGCCAAACGTCCAACCTTCCTTCTTTACCGAACTTACTACCGTCTAAGAGTGATTTAAGGGTGCCCCCCTGGGAATCGAACCCGGAACAAGTGCGGTGTGGTTGGCGGGTATTCTATCACTGAAATAACGACACAAATATTTAATATGGTAGAATAAAGACGCATAAAATACTACTATTGTCCACTATTGGAAGCTGAAAATTACAAAGCATAATAAAAGCAAAAACAGCTTACCATTCGTGGATATGGTATACGCCCATAAGAATAGATCTCCCATAAAAGGATACCGAAACTCCAAACATCTGATTTTGTTGTAAACAACTTTAAAAAAATAAACACAATGATGATAAACAAGAAGTTATGTTGAGAAGAATGAAGAGGGCAACAAGTCAAATTACCTATGTGTTATAGATAAAAGCGAATTTAAGTATAGCTGTACTATAACCTCGATTTACTTCCTCCTCACTTTCCCTCCAAAACCTAAAAGATTTCTCAATGGTTTTCAAGATTATCCACGAACCTACTTCATTTAGAGAACCACTGAACACTGCGAAGGAGTACTGGACAGCTGCTTCGTCCTCGTCTGGGACTCTTCATCAGTACCTACTCACCGGAGTTCGAGCCCAGGAGCTACCAATCACAAGACGAGCTCGTAGACTATTCAGCCACTGATACGGAATCCAGTGATCCATGAATTCTGTATAAGAGTCGTGTTTGTTGTTTACTGTTTATCAGTCTCTAGGGTATTCTTGGAATTGTGACTCTCTGCTCGTGTTTTCCCTTCAGTGGATTTTCCAATGACTAAATTATCACGCCACCATATATGCTAAATATATCCTGTTTATTAGTAGCACACACAATAGTACGTTAGTGGTATTAATGAAGTAATCAATAACACATGATCAGATATTTACAGTAAAAATATATTTATAACTTTAGGGTTTTTTTTATTCCTTCACGTTCCCCGGTGGAACATAGGGCTTCAAGCTAGAGGCTTGAAGTTTCTGTAGCAGTTTTTATTTTTACAGGATGGGGTTGCTATCCACATGCCCAACCTTTCCTCTTCACCAGCTTTTAGTTCTGGCTTAGCGAGGTAAAGGAGTGCGTCGGTCGGGGATCGAACCCCGGACAATGTGCATGGTCGGCGAGCGTCCTAACCGCTATGCCACCGACGCATAGGGGTTACAGAATACATTTTCGGATATATGCCTACATTATTATTATTACTATTATTATTATTATTTAGTTATTGTTTCCTTTAATTCCTAGAGGAACATAGGGCTTCAGCCGTGCGTCTCCATTTTGTTCGGTTCTCTGCTAGAGTCTTCACCTGGCTCCAAGTCTGCCCACGCGTTTTCATCTCCTCTTCACATGACCTCCTCCAAGTCACCCTTGGACGACCAACTCGCCGCTTCCCGTTCGGGTTCCACTCGAGCAATGGCTTGTCTAGTGATGTCACTTGATGGTTTACTCAGAGTATGGCCAATCCATCTCCATTTCTTCCTGCCTATTTGTTTTACAACCGGTTCCTGGTTGGTTCGCTCCCAGAGATCTCTGTTGCTAATCTTTTCTGGCCATCTGATCTTGAGTATTGAGCGAAGACAACTGTTAATACAACTTTGATAGCAGAAAAATAGCATCAACACTGTATCTAGGATAGTTTGATAGGAAGGACAGGTATCTACTGATCGGTAAAAGGAGTACCATGTTAAACTACCGAAGAAGGGTGATTTAAGCCGTTACTAAGAGTGGAGCGGAATCAAGCTTCGGTCTACTCCGAGCGAAATATAAAGTCGTATCATCGTGGAGAGACTAAAATATGCTCTGGATGTACAACTCCTCTCAGAACAAGTTAGATTCAGAAAGAGCAAATCATGCCTGGACCAACGCTATGTACCATCATCATCATCATCATCATCGAGGACAGCATGGAATGGCAGTAGTAATTCTGAATCAACTCTATCACTTTGAAAAGGCATTCGATAGCGTAAATCTTAAAGTAATTTGGAAACTGCTTCAACAATACGGAGTACACTGCCTCAAAACCTCACTCAACAGCTATATGAAGATGTCACATTTCAAGTGATTTACAACGAAAACCTTCAAAGTAGAGACAGGAGTTAGACAAACCTGTTAACGACTAACAACAGACTAGATCACGTGGCAAACTGTCAAGAGCGAGAAAACGGGTATATGTTGGATCGATCCAGTTTGAGTGATTCAGTGGTAGAAAACTAGCCAACCACGCACGTGGTCCGAGGTTCGATCCTCGGCCAACGCATTCCCAAACCTCGTTAAGGCGGTAGTAAGTCCGGTAAGGAGGGAAGGTTTGACCCCGTATAAATAAAACCACTGCTCGTGAAACTTCAAAGCTCTAGCTTAAAGCCCAGTGGGAACGTAAAGGAATAAAAGAAAGAAAAGATGGACCGACGAAAAGACTGCAGAAGACCTGAATTTCGAGTTTGGTTAGGAGATGAAGGCTTATGGATAATCGTGAAGCAGGATAAAGAGGACTGCAGAGAACATGATGAAATAGAGCTGCGCTGTTGAAGCCCCATATTCTGCGTGGAACCCAAGGGATTACTAATAATAAGACTGCGTTACCACGTCCAGAGACTTTGCTGTAATACACTAGATAGATATCCAACCAATCCAGTCAGGATGGTAGTAAGGTACTTTCTTTTTTGGTCACGTGAATGAAATATAGCCTTATTAAAGTTAGCTAATATGGATAGTGTTTATAGTTGCATTCATACACCAAACAAACATCTACAACTTATTATAAGGCATTATTATTGGTTAATATTCTTTTATGTAAACTGTGCACTAAGTATTTGTCTTTAAATCTAGATCAAAGGTTATATGTCGTTCACTGATTCTTGGTACGTTATTAACCATAACAGAATTGTTTGATTTGATATAATGCACAGTAATATTTACTGATAACCTGTTTCAAGAGCGATCTGTCACTCGTAATCATATCCAAGTAATTACATAACATTCATACTTTGTTTGTACAGTTCTATTATTTGCCATTCTTCAATTTCATCGGTATATAATATTTTCTGTATTGTATTCTTAGTGCTCATGTTTGACTTAGATTCGATGAACTGTTGAGCAATAAATTATGCTTTAAACGTGATTAGTAAATAAATAAATAATAATAATATCGAATAGCTACTTCGTCTTCGTTTGGGAATCTTCAGTAGCATACACACACGCAACCTAACCAGGTATTGAACTCGGGATATTCAGGTTTCCATGCCCAGATCGGTGACTATTCAGCCACTTGGAGCCAAATAATAAGTGATATTTCATCAGTGAGTGCTTTTTATATCAAATATCTGTTGAGGAATTATAACCTACAAATGGTGCCCGAATTCTATTCGTATATCGATCAAATGTTATTAACCATTATGGGTAATAATTTGTTTTGATTAAGTCTCAACAACAAAATTCGAATTTTCAATACAAACGTGAAGTCAATTTTGCTTTACGGATCAGAAACTTGGCGGGTCACCAAGAATATTTCCAACAGGTTGCAGACCTTTATCAACAACTGTCTTCGTTCTTTACTGAAGATTAGATGGCCGGAAAGAATCACAAACAAGAAGCTATGGGAACAAACGAAACAGGAACCAATCGCCCAACAAATATGCAGGAGGAAGTGAAGATGGATTGGACACTCTCTGAGGAGGCCGTTGAGTGACATCGCGCGTCAGGCCCTCGAGTGGAACCCGAAAGGGAAGCGGCGAGTGGGACATCCAAGAATGACATGGAGGAGATCGTGTGAAGAGGAAGTGAAACAGTATGGAATAACATGGACGCAAGTGAAAAGTACAGCACAAGACAGAAGCAAGTGGAGACGTGCAGTTGAAGCCCTATGTTCCACTAGGAACCCAAGGGAACAATAATAATAATAAGTCTCACGGTGTTATATAGTAATGTTTACTGATGACGTTTCGAGCACAATTTATTACTGCACCTCATACCGGAAATATGGAAAATAATGGGATTATATAAACGAAGTTAGAAAGTTGTGTGAGTACCTTGATATGATTATGAGCAATAAATTGTGCTCGAAATGTCATCAGTAAATATTACTGTATAACACTGTGAGACTTTATCAAAATAAGTTTTACCCCTAATGGAATTATACTCTATCATAGTGCACAAGTTTTATTCTTATATCAGTGTTATTAACCAGTTTTAACGCATTAAAGTTGTAAGTCAATTAGTGATTTAAAATGATAATTATCCGAATTACTGTATTTTCTGGTTATTCTCCAATTAATTTTACCTCCTTAGACTGCTGCCTTCGCATCTTTTCAGAAGTGTAGGAACAGTATTCAACTGGCCATTTATTCGTTATTGTGTGTGTGTCGAAGTACTGAGAGTGTACAACATCGACTTCACTAGTTAATAACCAGTTAGCAAAAAAAACTAATGTATCTGTTGATGAATGTTGTGATGTTAAAACAGTCATTGGAACTAATTCTACTATCAACAGGAAACAACCAGCAGTGAATCCATCAGCTTTCGTGCATAACGATGATGAGTCGAATGGATGAAGCAGCTGCGCTTTTTGTTGCTAACAGTTCTACTTTTCACACTGTTGACAGGCACATGTTGATAAAGTGTTCTTTCGGTAAAGTTAAGCTCTCGGTCATTGTGTGCCTAGATATTGACTCAGTAAAGCTCTTTACAGAAACAGTGAGTAGCGTCAGTTATATATATATATATATATATATATATATATATATATATATATATATATATATATACAAGAGTATAACACGTAAACACAGCAAAATTACTGAGTTCTACTAACAAAATGAAATCTTCGGGAACGCAGATGATGACAAGTTTAGTGAAAGAAACAGTGAATGAAGACTTGAAAATTGCACATGCTGTCAACAATTGCTCAGTAAAACTGAAAAGATAGTGCTTTGTTTTTATGCAACTAGTCCTTAAGGGATTGGGTCGACAAGAAGACTTGAAGATTTGCACTTCGTGTACGATTTATGTTTGATTTCATAAAATCTCGAAGATCTACAGGCGAAAAACAACAAGTTGGTAGATGAGGCAGGCAGCGAAGACAGGACTTCAAGTGAACACAGAGAAGATAGAGATGATGAAGATACCTAACCAACAAAAACAACAAGCACTAATCATTATCAATGGTGAAAATTTGAAGAAGGTGAATTCTTTCACTTATTTAGACCACCTTGTTTCAATTGCATGCTGCATCGATGAAAATGCCAAAGCCAGGTAAGAACGGAAAGCCAAGGCAGACCTTCATTAATCTGAAATCAGTCTGGAAATCTACTGTAATTACCATAAAGAATAAGAGCCGAGTCTTCAACACTAACATCAACTCAGTCTGTTCTTCTATACGGTTCAGGGATTTGGCGAGTTACCAAAAGCATTTCCAACAGGCTATCGCAAAATTTTGTCAACAGATGCCCTCCTTGGCTCCATACTGAAGATCCGATGGCCGACCGGAAAGGAAAAGCAGAAAGGCACCCTGATGAACAACGAACCCAACAACCTATCGACTAACAGATATGCCGAAGGAAGTGGAGATGGGTTGAATAGACACACTAAGGAGACCATTGAGTGACATCACGTGACAGGCCGGTTGGTTGAGTAGAACCCGGATGAAAAATAAGGAGTTGGCCGTCGCTTCGAGGGTGACATGGAGAAGATCGTGTGAGGAGGAGATGAAAGCTCACGGCAAGTCGTGGGACCAGCTGGTAAGGACAGCAGGATGAAATGCAGATATTCAGTTGAAGCCCAACATTCCACTTGGAAAGCATGGTAATAATAAACAAGTCCTTAGGGTGGGGCACTTAGGTCTATCAAGCAATATTTGTATGATAACTAAGAATTTAATACAATATACAACAAAGATAATTATGAATTAGTAGAGGCGTATAATATTCTTACTCTATCCCGTATAGCTTCCGGAGCTGTCCATTTCAAAGGAATCGCTGCATTATCATGTAGTGCCATTGCATTTAACGATGTCGGTGGTGGTGATGTATTTGTCTCAAAAGGCTGGTGTTGCTGACGATGACTGTTATCCTGAGGGTGGTGATGTTGTACAGTGGTGGTAGTGGGATATTTCTCCACTGAATCTCCTGCTGCATGTGGTGAATTCCTGATAATCAGTGTCGGTGTATTAGCTGATTTTGGTTGATGTGATATAGCACCGATAGTTGATAAATCGTGCAGATCCCTAGCCATACCGAAGTCAGCTACTTTAGCAATTAAATTTGGCGCTTGTCCAGATAACAGAATATTCCGAGCAGCAATATCACGATGAATGAAATCACGTTCTTCAAGATAAACCAGCCCACGACAAACATCACTAGAAGAAAGTAATGTAAAAAAATTTGGAACATTCTTATAACTGACTGACTGAGATTCAACATAGAACTTTGTATAGAAATGCATTACTTCAAGTTGCCACACGCCATACAGCACACAAAGGTAGAGAAAAGGGACAGACTCAAAATACCTATAATAAACATAAATGTACAGGAGAAACAATAGTAACATGGAAAAACATGGCGATTTAATGAAGATGAGAGATAGTAAAGGGTGGATGCACGTCGGCCACTGAGAACGATTTTGAGCCATATCTCCAAAAGTCTCGCGCCATTGCAACTCAGCATATAGAGAACCTCAGACAGCCTACACTTCTCTACGTGGCTTAAACTAACTGTCAAAGATTTCATGGACTGATTTCAGGTTTTGGTTTGACTGCCAAAAACGTTTTACGAACCTGATCCTATGTCAGCCAACATTTCCCGTCAAGGAAAATTTTATTGTTCCCTTGGGTTCCTAGTGGAACATACGGCTATCAAGGGAAATGATGGCTAGATATTCTTTTAAATACTTACATTATCCATAATTCATATTTCGAGTTGTAGAAAATTTTTGAGTAGGACAAGGATGAAAAGAAACCAAGGATAGATAAGAATTGAATTTTCCAAGGTTTACCAAACTTTCTTTTGATATTCACTGACACAAAACTTCTAAAAAAGTATTAAATAAAGAATTATGTGGCAACTCAAGTTTTCAGGTCTTACTTAGTCTTTTGTTTTACAATTATGTCATTTCGTGTTTTACGTGCATACAGCTGAAGATGAACTTAACACTCCTATCATGATTACATTCGTGCTTATGTTGTTCAGAGTTGATGTAAGCAAATAATTCCCGACTAAAGGTTGCTAAACTGACGTGGTGTTTGGTTGGGCTTGCTTATCGCAATAACCCGAGCTACACTGACCGAGACTAACGTCCCTGCAGGTCCTATCACGCCAGAAAGGTTGTTTGGATAGCTGTTAGACTAAAGGCAGGTGCCACTACAGTGCAAGTCGTTTACACTATGTTGGGGGGCGAAGTCTTACTGATGAAGAATAAAGATGTAACTAATGGCAGTACGGTGTTTCGCTAAGATGATCAGCAAGCCAGCTATGTTGCCTCTCCGCTCCGGCGGCTGGGTAAGAAATAGAAAAGGTCGACTCCGAAATTTGTACATAGCAACTTATCTTGCAACCATTCGTAGCTGGCGGTAAGATCTTAATACACAAAAAACTTCAAACAGACCGTATGTGACCAATTTCAAGCAGTTGTCCTCTGTACTCTGCATTTACGTAACGCTAATGCTCTTTCTGTTTTAGATACCCCATGAAAAAAATTACCAGCAGGTAAATAATCCTAGTGACGAAGGTAAGACTATAACTAAAACCCATAATCAACCTATCAATAATCACTGACACTGATCACAGTAAGTAGGCTTTTAGGGAACACCTCAATTCATACAAATATAGCGAAATAGGTGTTAGGTAAAAGACTAGAAGCTCAATAAGTTGAAAACGCACAATACAGATTTGTCTCTTATTGTGTGAACCAAGTTTTCTGTTCTCAAAATTACTCTCTTTCTTTCATTGTGATGCTGTAGAGTATACGAGTGAGCATAGAAGTTATAGTGAAACAAACTTCCCAGGCTTTCACTTCAGCTTACTTGAACGGGTAGGACGGGGGCAGTTAATAACGAATTGAATTTTCCTGGGTAACTGATCTAATGTGATTCTTTATTACATGATCTAGCGGAGATGCTGTTATCATATCAGATGTTACCATTTGGCTGTTTTAAATGTGTTTCACCAACTTTTTTACGCAGCTGGTATTTGCTGTGCTATGCATGCAAATACCTTGCAGTTGCCTATGTCTTCTCTCTTAAAATAGAACTTTGTATAATTTAATTGACAGAGAATAACTAAACAAAAAGAGATTCAGCATTTCGTTGATTATAATAAGTGGTGAATAGATTTCGAGTCATTTCTCCGGGTATCTTAAATAACTAACTGATTCTAAGCATTCGTGACTGTTATATAATGGGATGAATCATCAATCTAAACGATTTTTGCGGCCAACGCTGAAAACAAAAACAACTATAAAAGAGACTACTGGAGTAAATGAAACGAAAATATCATGTGAACTTCGCACAGTTATCTAGATAAAGTATAAATAGGTTGAATCGATCCTACAGACCATATCATCAAAGCTTAGACAGACACTATACAAAGTTATTTCAGATTAACTTCATCGATTGGTGCCACATGTTGGTGTGATGAAGGTTTGCTATCTTCTAATCTTTTTTTTTAGTACTAATGACTTTATTCTAAAGCATAATAATTATACAGAATGGAATTTTTAGCACTGTACACACATATACTGCACCAATTTATCTCTATTTACAAATAAATAAATACATGTAATAGTAATAAATAAATAAATATAACCACACAAGTATAAGTTAATAACAGAGTAATATTTGTATTAGTAATGTTGATAATGAGTTAGTTGCTGTTCAGCCATAGATTATAGATAAAGTAGGCTTATAAGCTCTTTTTTGAAATTCGTCTCTTCGCGCAACACCCATGATACTCTAAATATGGTATGGTTGAATTTTTATATTTACTAGCCGTACAAGAATAAATTTTTATGAAATTTCTTCTAGTTTTACCTAAAGAGATACAAGGAGAAAGTTGCGAAGAAAGAGGATGTGTTCAATATCAGATAAGATGATTTTAGCTAACAACTGCTTACAAGAATTGAAATGCCTATCAACCAACAACAATATAAGAATAAAACTTGGGCACTGTGGTAGAGTGTAATTCCATTATGGGTAAATTTTATTTTGATAGAGTTCAAGTTCAACTTGATATGATTATGAGGAATAAATTGTGCTCGAAACGTCATCAGTAAATATTACTGTATAACACTGTGAGACTCTATCAAAATAAAATTTACCCATAATGGAACCAACAACAATGCCAGTTAGTTGAGTAAAAGGCACACCACTAGCCCTGTTTACGGCCATTCAAAGTTCTATGCGATATTACGTAATCTTTTCTGAGATGATCAAGAAAGAACAAGTGAGGACAATAAAGAAGAATGGACAGAATACATGAATTAATAAATTATTTGAGATATTTATTATTTAAACGCAGAAAAAATTGGTACAATATGGCACCAAGAAAGATGCGCCACACAATATTGTGTGAGGGCTGAGATACTGCCCGGGCGCCCAGACCGAAGCAGGTGGTTTTCCTAAGGGACCACCCCCCGAGCCTTTGACTTGGAGTCTAATCCGCAAGGCAGCGGAGCAGCGTCAGGAGCTGCGTTCCCATGGTTGCCGGTGACCCATATGGGTTCATACGCGGATGAGTTATGCCAAAAAGTCTCAACTCCCTTATGCAATAAGTCAAACGAAAAACTTCTTTACAAATCGACAATATATGATACAACCAACAAAGATTTGAAGAGAAAATAATACCAAGATAAATAATATTTGATTTATCTTCTGTCACGTTGTCGTCGACATTACACGAATTATGGGGTTGAATCAGTCTACAAAAGTCTTGTTCACACCTGATACTAACATTTACTGTCTGATATTTAGAGGGATTCAGTTTAAGATCATGTGAATTAAACTATTGGTTATCACCGGATGATGAAGAAATGACTGGAACAGAAATTGTAACATGACCAGCATATTTAATCCTACTTCACTTAACACTACACACATCGGAACAGATGACAACTTAGCATGTGTGATGTATATCACACAGTCGTCATCTACGTTGATGAAAGTTTACCTTATTAAAAAGATAAAACATATGATTACTAAGAATCCTTACGCAAACCACTTAAGCGTTTACTTAGCAATTCTATTACATGCAAAAGATGCTTTGAGTGACTGCATTTCAACATAGAAATCTGCACCAATTCAAGTTACCACATTCCAAATACCACAAAAGGAAGAGAGAGAAAAAAGAAATTAAAAAGAACTACAATGAGCAAAATTGTACGAGGGAAAGAACATCAACATGGAAAAACTTGGGGATTTAATGGATTTGATAGATAACAAAGAGTGAATACATCTGCATCACTGAGAATAATATTGAGCGATATCACCAATAGTCTCCAGATATTGGTTCTTAGAATTTATTTTAGAGATCTCAACTAGTTAGTCTACACCTCCAGTCTTAGCTAGCCTACATCGACTGTCAAAGACTTCATTCACTGATTCCAGGTTTCGGTTTGACCACCTCTAATTCTTTTCCAAACCAATCCTATGATAGTTAACATTGCTCGATGAGGGAGAATGTAGCTTGGCAAGCATCAGATGTGTCCTATCCATCTGTCGGTCGATGTAGCTTCATAATCTCACCAGTGTTTCGAAGATAACACCAAACTTCCCCAGTAAATTTGCCTTGTATACATACTGCTGCTACTCTCATGATGCTACACTGAAAATCTGATATCCTACTGACACAATATCTTTTACCAATCAAGTGGTTATTTTATCAACTCACTACCTAAATAATCAACTATTTCCATCTGTTTCACCTCTTCCATGTGTATTTACCAATTTAAACTGCTCGTGTGGAGCTAGTTACATTGACCAAACGATATGGCAAGTTCATCGTCGAATTTCTGAACACCTCCAATTTTGGTTTGGCAAAGGTCCGAATAAAGTCATACGCAGCTCAAGACTAGCTCATCTCGTCAATACTGGACATCAAGTCAACTATAACAAAGCTTTTAAAGTTATTTATTGTATATCATCCAACCTCTCGCCACATGCTCTACGAGTACGACTTTTACATACAGCAGAGGTATTCGGAGTTCACCTGAACAAGCTAAATCTGTGTATTCAAAAGAAATTTGTACAGCCCCTTTCTTTGCTGTGGCCAACTATATAATATGTATTAAGTTTTTAAAAACTATATTTCCCCTCCCCTTGTAACTATCTTTTGACTTTGTTACTTTATTATGTTTACAGTTCTAGCCAATTCTATTAATTTGTTTATATTTTGCGTAATTCTTCTGAGTCATCAATGCTATTTTACAAATTTCTTGATTATGTAATAACTTGTTAATAACGCCTAAGAACCAACTTATCTTGAATTCCGTAATTAATTTTCACCCCTCTTTTAAAATTTAGATATCTTGTTATTAACATCTATTAGTTATCTGTTTTGATGACCTTTAACCTTTTAATTTCAACCACACCTATACTTAAAACTGATTAAGTGAAATAACCACTTAATTGGTAAAATTTTGATGTAAAAAACTATAAATTAGTGTCGAGCTGACGATGAGGAACTAATTGAAAATGAATATACATGTTTCTTCGCTCAATCTGCTGGGTTTTTTAAAATGCGTAAATGAGAATTCAGAAATTACAGTATATTTACTATTATTTTTATTTTATTTCTTTGCGTTCCGAGTAGAATACAAAGTTTCGAGCGTGGACTTGGAATTTTCATTAGCAGTGATTTCATTCTTACAAGGTAGGGTTAGTAACCTCCCGCCTTCCCTCTTTACCGGGCTTACTACTGGCTATGCGAGGTTCGTATGAGTGAGTCGGGTGGAAATTGAACCCCGGAGCACATGCGCGGTTGGCTAGCATTCTACCATCGCACCAACGAAACAAAACATTGCTTATATATAATATAAGAGAACAACACGAATGAGATGAGTTTCTTTTACTGGAAATACATACACACAAAGAAACGAACAAAATGAGAATCAAACTCACATGCTAAATTTCAATTTTGTCATATCTGTTATTTCATCACGTGTACGAGAGTGTAGGTAGGTTAACAAGCTTCCATTGGCTAAATATTCTGTGACTAGATAAACAGCATCATCTGGTTCATACACCAAACCAATGAATGAAATCAAATTAGGATGATTTATTTTCCTATTTGCGTTTATTTTTTTAATTTATTCATTTATCCATTTGAGTTCATTACCATCATTGATTCATAATGGTGGTGGTAGGGTGGGGAGGTTAGGCCAACGTCATTGTTGTTTATAATAATCGACATTATCATTATACATTTATAAAACATAAGAGTAAAACAGAAAAGAAACTATTAATATTTCAGTGGGAAACATTACTAATACTCTTTAAAAAAAAGCAGCAAAATCAAAACTCCATTCTATTAAATCGTATAAAAGATAGAAAACAGAGTAATATTGACAAGGTAAGTAGAGTAGAGTAGAACTTAACAGACAAACTCTGTGATTCGGAAATTCCCCACTTTTTACAGCAAAGAGATGACAGGAAAGGTTGAGCGTGTGGCTAGTAACCCCACCCATAAAAACAGCATCATGGCTGCTGAAACTGCAAGGCTGAAGTTTGAAGCCCTTTGAAATGTTTAATCTAGCTTTATCTCTTGTTTGACCTTTCATTATTACAGGGAAGTTTATTTTATTTTGCAACGAGTGTAAAACAAAGCAATATTAGGAAATATATAAGATTTTTTTCAAGAATAATGAACTTCATATACCCAATACCCATATTTTTTCAAACTATACATATTCTTACTATCCTTTCACACATTTTTATTTGATTATCGATTCACTTCATCTTTCTTATTGTGTAACTTCTAAACTTATAAGATTTTGACCTAATTCACTTCAATTATATAAAGGTTTACATAATTGTAGCTATCTTCATTATTCGTATCCCCATTTACATCAATTACTTGTGCTTTTATTGTCATCGATATCACTATGAGTAATCGACAAACTCTCGTTCTGCTGTAGATACATGGATGATACTTTTATCTTGCATAAGAATAAAGTCGATACTGAGTTCTTTCTTAAAACGTTCAGTATGTCTCACTCACTAATTGAGTTCACATACAAAACAGCGAAAGACAATACTATATCATTTCTTGATGTCCTGCTAACAAGAAGGGGAGATGGCAGTGTTAAGGGAGGTATTTTCCAGGAAAAATCATAGGTTGGTCAATACACCCATTTCAAGTCGTTTGTTCATCTTACACAGAGACGAAATCTCATCACTACCCTGAAGTTTTGTGCTAGAAAAATCTGCACAACCAACAATCTGGATAATGCAATAAGGAAAATGTAAAGCTCATTATATGAGAATGGATATCCAGAAGAATTTGTTATTCTCCATGATGAGAACAGATAGAAAAAAAATGCCTGCAAACTGTGCAGAAGATATATATATATATATATATATATATATAACGACTCGGTAAGCCCACCGTAGCCTTCTTGAGCACTATCCAACACGGTTAGACAAACGAGTCGTTAAGTTAGTCAGAATTTTCATATTGGCACACCTTGTGGATACGGCGCATAAGTTTGATAAAAATTTCGTCTTTACAATGCTATACAATAGCGCCAACTCAATCCCCCTAGGCTTGTAAGTCTAGTGATACTAAACCATGCGAACTTAAAACCTGTAACTACAAATTCTGGTGACTAATTAGACTACAAACTTCACATTTATGAAAGAATAAGACTAGGTGAGTCACCACAATCAGATGACAACATATTTCAACTAAACGACTGGTTTTGTTTGAAGTATATTTGGGTTCAGAAACGTTTCATTGAGCCTCTTTCACTACCATGGTCTTAGTAATATTTTTTTCTTTTTCTTATATTCTTCATTCTTTGTCTTTCTGAATAGCTGTACTATGCTTACCACAACCTGTAATTTCTCTGAGAAGCTTCCACATGTTTCCTGGAGTTTTACATGACAAAATTCTTTGATTATAAATATTGTTTAGCCTCTTGATTTCGGATTTAATTTGAATGTTTATCCTCCTAAGACCAGATTTATCCTTGGTCTTGTACAGTCTCTCTTTTTCTCTTCGAAGCTTTTTGAGATAAGGGGAAGATAAATATTTAAATATAAGGACAGGTCCAGTGACCTTAAGACAATGACAGTTTCCATAGATGAATACTATGCCTTCATATTACATGACATAACAAGCAATATATATATATATATATTATAATAATATCAGTGAACACACAAAATACGTACGATCGGTAATTTCTCTTCAGTTTTTACAGTTGAATAATAAAATTGTTTTAACGTAGATGTTTGATGCACTTACAGTCAATACAGCTCCGCTGAAGTATACGAACTAGTGAATGATAACACAGGTGATCATGATAATAATAATAACAATAATGACGAGATAAAGCAAGTGCTTAAATAATTTAAGTAGTCAATCATTGCAGATGCGCAGGGAGATTGTGTATGTGGTGTGTGGGTGGGTGTGAAGGGGTAGAGGAGTAAAATAACCGCTATAGAAATTAAATTGCCAAATTAAGATCAACATAATGATAACAAGGGTAGTAGTACAACTATAAATGTTATTTACAGATATCTACGACTGGCGGCCTACTTAGATCTTGGTCTATCAAAAATCCATCAATGATTATATTGCATCTAGTTTCTCGTGTTCAATTTGTTTTAAACCTATCAATGAACGAAATATTCCCATATTGAGTCATAAGAAAAAGGCACAAACAGCGAAGAAAATTTTCTTTTCGACGATTCATTTCCATGAACTGTACAATCGTAATTATAATTAACAAAGAAATCTTTAGACCAATCAGATACTGGTAAACTTTGTCCTTGGAAAATTGTATTACATAATGTAAGGTGTAAGAAGGGATGACTAATTGTAAGTTAGAAAGGAGACAGAAGTTGGCATGACGTAATAAGTGTGAGATAATGAATAATCAATAAGCTCGTGTAAAATGGACAGGAACTAGTGGAAAGGCTATAAAGTGATTTTGTATAAGATATGTATGAAGAGCAATGTTATTAATAAACAGTAATAGAGTGGAAATAAAATGTGGACCTGTTAAAATATTACCTCCAGTTGCATTGTTTACACTCGCGAGATTTCAAATTTCCACAAAACCTAGGAAAAAGCATCATGCTGGGTGGCTACGTGCTTTGAAACCTATTCCTATACATCAAATGGTTGTTCCAGAGATTATGAGCACAAACTGTCGCTTTCTACCGGGTAAAATTAACTGTCTGCAATCCCTAGTGCCCTTCAATGTATACCACAGTGCAGGGATTATAACTCTTCAAGAAACCTGTATTCATGACCTATATGATGATAATTTAGTCTGTTTAAACGACTTCAGACTATTCAGACAAGATCGGGGTAGCTTTAAGAAGAAATGTGGTGGTGGCGTTGCAACCCTCATCAATTCTCAGTGGCATATTTCTAATAATTTATATTTTAGATTCTCTAATGACAAAATTGACTGGTTCACTGTCAAATGTCGACCAAAACACCTGTCTAAAGGTAACTACATATACATTTCAAGCATTTATATTGCATCTGGATGTAGTCTCTCAGAGCTGTCGTTACTCGCTGACGAATTTACTTCCTTTGTTGCCACCTCCCTTGGAAAACCCTTGTCAATAATTACTGGTGTCTGCAATTCTTGTGACTACAGTTGCCTTACAGCATTAGGTAATGAAAATATTGTCAACTCAACATGACTAGAAAATAGCCTTGGTCTAGTGTTTACTAATGATTTCAGTATATTTGAAGCTCGGAAAAGAGCCCAACCACTCTATTCTGATCACTGTATCGTAGGAATATTGCCCAAAATATATGGAAAGCTGCACAAAATGGCCTTCTTGAAACTTTTCAAGAAAACATAATATAGATTTTACTCCCATGACAATATACACAATCTAAGATATGTGTTAAAAGTTACAAACTGGGACTTATTTACTGAACGAGTTTTAGATGACTCAATCACAAACGTAACATGATATCTCAAATTGTGTCCTGATGTTTGTCGTCCAAAAGAAACACTTCTTAAGATTTGACTGCTTCTCCTCTTCTCAGCTCAGAAAGCTTCGCCGAGAAAAAGAAACGTTATACAAAATGAAAGACAACCCTGACGATAAGAGACTGAACATCTTAATTAAATCAGAAATATAAAGATTAAATATAATAACAAAAAGTTCTTTTCATGCAAAACCTCACCAGATATGTGGAAGCTATTTACGGGAATCATCGGTAGTAAGCAAATAAATAGTGATCCTTCTTCAGTTGACGCTGGTACGCTTAATAAGTCATTCATAAGTCATCCAGCATATGTTATTATTTAGAATGCTACAAGTGTAAAAAATGACTGATATTCCCGTCTTAGAACAAACGACGTCCTGAGGTGTCTCAAATCCTTGAAACCTATCTCGTCCTCAAAAAAATGTGCCGACATTTTATGTTATCCTCTCACTGGTATTTTAATGAGTCTTTTCCCACAAACACTGCCTGCTTCTTGAAAGGACACTAAAATTGTTCTTGTGCGTCGGTGGCACAGTGGTTAGGACTCTCGCCGACCATGCACGTGGTCCGGGGTTCGATCCCCTACCGATGCACACCCGATATCTATGGTCGGCCTGCAAAATTTGGGCTACCGATATCCATGCTGAAAATTCCATACTTGTACTGAAAATACGGTGTGGCATCAAGCTATAAGCAAAAATTAAAAAAATTAAAATTAAATCATCAAGTGAACCAACTGTTAAGTTTAAACCTATTGCTGTTTCTTTATACCTTTGCGTTCCTGATGGAACATAGGGCGTCAAGATAGAGGCTTGAAGTTTCGGTAGTAGTGGTATTTATTTTTACGGGATGGGGTTGCTAGCCTCATGCCCAACTCTGCCTCTCTAGCGGTCCTATTACTGGCTTACCGAGGTAAAGGAGCGTGTTGGCCGGACATCGAACCCCGGACCACATGCGTGGTTGGCGAGCATTCTAACTGTGCCACCGACGCCCTATTGCCATTACTTCACCTTTTTTTTTAAATAATGCGAAAAAAATGCCTTAACTTAGCCTTGAGCCTTCATTGAAGGCTTTTAATGACCCTAAACATTTTGCTTATAAACATCGTGGGTGTACTTTAGATGCCACTGTCGTTTTATATCATAATATTGTCTCTAATTTAGACAGAGATACCAAATATGTCTGCTGTGCCTTCCTTGATTATTAGCAAATATTATCTTGCCAAACTCTGTGCATCCTCTCGACATACAACTCACTCCTTGCATCTCATCAGGTAGAAATAGAAGCAACTATAGAAGACTGTATGCTCGGACGACTGAGTACAAAAATTCTGCGATACCTTATTTAGCACACATTTTATGTGATAAGAAAAGCATAAGGTAGGAAATTACCAACTTACTGCGGAGCTCTAAGTAAACGGCCCTACTTTTTCGCATTATTATATTGTTGTCAGTATTCTTGTTGAATCTAATTTCATATTCATATTCTTATCAAACAATATTATCAATGTTAATTTTTTTTGTATTCCTACACGTTCCCCGGTGGAACATAGGGCTTCAAGCTAGAGGCTTGAAGTTTCTGTAGCAGTGATGTTTATTTTTACGGGATGGGGTTGCTATCCACATGCCCAACCTTCCCTCTTTACCAGTCTTATTACTGGCTTAGCGAGGTAGAGAAGTGCGTCGACTGGGGATCGAACCCCGGACCATGTGCTTGGTCAGCGAGCGTCCTAACCGCTGTGCCACCGACGCACATCAATGTTAATGCCCTACTTTAATTATTAACCCTGCAATGAGACAGATACAATACGCTACTACATGCTGGAAATCCCATATATGTACCAAAAAATACTGTTTGGAGTAAAGTTATTATAAACATTATGCAGAAATAAAGAATTATTCTATGTTGAAACTGTAGACCATGGTGAGAGGGAAAGATACTGGACAAAAGTACAGATTAGGTTGAGAGCGATTGATAGCACAACTTGCCCTCACTAATACTTAGCAGTTGAAGATGGACAGACACCTCGAGGATGAAGGTTGGGACCTTCTAAGAAACTGTGAAAGCTGAATTTTTATCACTCTGGTACACCCTGTCTATTAGCTGCTGCAGTGTAGATCTCCTGACAGATATTACTGTTCTTTTTTGACAGTGCACAAGAATACGACGATAAGCTTTCCGAAACATCTTAGGTATGCATTCACTCTTTGTGATTTTTCATATCCAAAAAAACTATTGTTCTTCCATATTACTATTCTTTTTTCCTTAAACTTCTGTTTATTATCTCTCTTTTGAATCTCTCCTTACTCTCTTCTCTTGCTTTGTGTGCTAAATGGAGGATGGTAATTCGAACTGTTACACATCTGTGCAAAGTTCTACGCTCTAACCAGTCAGTCATGCAACTCCCTCCAAAAGAGCAGTTTTTTAATTATTTTTTCTAGTGTAGTAACTGAAAAGTATAAAGACCATCCATTAATTGTTCACTTTAAAGTAACACAAGCATTAAGTCATCCTTTATATTATTAATATTATTCCCTTGGGTTCTGAGTGGAAAATAGGGCTTCAACAACACACCACTTTATCCTCTTCTCTACATTTTTTTTAGCTGACTCCATCATCTTCGTGTAACACTTAGACCCATGCCGAACTCTTCGTTCCGCATTCGGGTTCCAGTCGACGGTCTTCCTATTGAGTAACTTCACTCGACGGTGGCCTAAGCATGTGTCTAATCCATCTTCATTTTTTTCTGCATATATGTGAGGTGATAGGTTCTTGGTTGGTTCGTTGCCTGGGAGAGTTCCCTGTTGTTAATCCTTTCTGGCAGACCATCTGATCTTCAGTATGGAGGCAGAGAAGACTACTGCTGACAAAAGTCTGCAGCAGTTTGCCGGAAATACTTTTTGTGACGTGTGCTCCAAGTCTCTGAACCATATAAAAGCACCGACTGACTTAACATTATATGCAGTAACCGCATTTAGTTAATCAAACTTATATAATTCTCACTGAGCTAGGGAAGCTTTTATTGCTCTTGTATTCTATTACAATAGTAGAACTAACTATGCTATATCGATTTACTATCTTCCCTTTTGTCTACTAATGCGTATACATATTGCAACGGGAAAGAGGTATACATCAAAGCAGCTTGTATTGATACAAGCAACTATTGCATTTTCTTCCCCTTTTTTCTCTCATTCTTTGCTTCTAACATACACATGCAAAAAAACAAGCATACGCATAAATGAAAAATATACAAGTTCCAGCATTCTAGCATAAGTACATTTAAAACAATTAGTTCCCTTTATGAATTTAAATAAAGCAATAAGAAGACGCGTGCGTCGGTGGCATAGCGGTTAGGACGCTCGCCGACCATGCACATGGTCCGGGGTTCGATCCCCGACCGACGCACTCCTTTACCTCGCTAAGCCAGAAATAATGCTGGTGAAGAGGAAAGGTTGGGCATGAGGCTAGCAACCCCATCTTGTAAAATAAACACTGCTACAGAAACTTCAAGCCACTAGCTTGAAGCCCTATGTTCCACCGGGGAACGTGAAGGAAAACAAAATAAGAAGACGCAATTCGTCTGAATCGTGTAATGTATTTGCGCAACACATTTCGAACAATCTAATCACACACGGACTTGTCATAGGAACATATATGAAATTAATAAAGAGGTAAGAAGTGAGAAGACAGATTTAGGTCAAGTTAAAAGGACATATTCAAGGTCAAAATAACAATGAAGACCACTAAACCAAATAGCAGAAGTAATAGTACATCTGCTATGGTATCGAAACAAAATTTACCAAGGAAGGTTTAAGTACATTTATTTAGATTATGGGATTTGGATTAATTTCATCTGTTAGATATCTCCACGAACTCACATCAGTTAGACAGATTATTGAAAACGAGGGAGCGCTAGATAGCAGTTTCCTCCTGGTTTCGAACTCTTGAGCAATAAGCGCTCACGACGCTGCTAGGCATCAAACCCGAGACCTTCACGGTACGAGATCAAGCTCATTGACCACTAAAACATTTGGGCCGGAGTTCAGTGACTTATGAATTCTTTGTCAATTTGTGGTATAGCCCCACCATCAACCAGCACCTTCAGTGTGTATCCACTTCACGGTGATACGGTGGATCCCACTGGTTACGACTTCTAACTACAGCTTTAGGACATCCATGAATGAAGCTGGAGATTACCACATTTAGGATAAAGGATAATTGAATTCCGGCCCAAGTGACTTAATGGTCAGTAAACCTTTGTCTCGTAACCTGAAAATCCTAGGTTCGATTTGTGGGTGTGGACTGCTAAAGCGTCCCGAAATAGGACGAAACAACTGTCCAGTACTCCATAGTCTTCAATGGTTCTGCATCTGAAGTCAATCCGTGATCAATGATAAAGTCTATTAGATCCCCGCGAACAAATTAATTTTATTGACCAAATTTAGACTTGTTGTAACCGTAAGACTTTAGTTCACATAACATAAAAACTGATCACCCCTCAGTGACCGATGGATGTATGTCATCCAGCTTTACATAAGGTCAGTCGTAGCCCAACAAAAAAACTTAAGCCAAGGGTCCCCTGTAAACTACACCTAAAGATAAGAAAGTACAACTTTTAAGTGTGCAATGTATTGCTTAGTCAATTACTATCAGTAAGAAGTTTGGGCATTGTGGATTAGATGAAATAAAGTATAATTATATTTATATAGTTTGCACACAATGATAAATTTTGTTATTGGTAATATTTCGAGCAAAATTACCAGTAACAAAACTTATCATTGTGTGTAAACTATTGAAATATAATTATACTTTATTGCTTAGTCTTCCAGACTGTCCATCCAAGTGCATCATCTAAAGACACATCCATAAAAATCTATAGGCAAACAATAAATAAAAGAAATTAGAGTTAGTCTCAACTCTCAGGATAAATTTTGAAGTAAATTGACTTCATCAGCAACTGCGTCTTTGTGGAGGAGTGCAACCTTCTGAAGAAACGCTTATGATGAAATATCATGACCTGGAAATTATTAAACAGTTATCATTTTCATCCTAATAATGTTGTCCGACCAACAGCTGTTATCTTGATGTGGTAGTCGGGCTTGAATATCGTTATGACTCAAAAAGCTACACTGGTTGAATACCAGTCGACTAAAAGCTATTACCATAATAGTCGAAGTCATTTACACTATGCTGGGGGTTTGTGAGCAAATTCGTACAGCTGGTGGATAGGCAGGTAACAGCAAGAAACCAACTCCCATGGTGTAAGCAGCTGGGAAGTAATTACTGCTCATACACATGCTTCCATACATACAGGAAGCTTCCCTGACCATAAACCACTTAAGCAATCAACCTTATAGTGTAGTAACTTTAAAATAACCTCAACAAACATACATAGTTGAGTCAGATGCGACACATAATTAATAACAACTAGATGGGACAGTAATAAGCTGTAGGGAAAAAGGCAATACATAATAATAATAATAAATCAAGGAATACTTACGTCATAAGTGATGCTTCATAAGTTATGGCTAGTTTGGAAGCAGTCTTTTTATAGATTTTCACCGCCACTTGTCGACCATTATAATTAGCTTTAAGAACTTCTGTAGCAAAGAAGAAAGGTGTAAAAACAGAGCATGATTTTTGAATTATATTGTTCAATTAAAACATTTGAAAAAGCTGAAGAAATTCATTCTACAGAGCAGAAAACCTGATATTTTATTTACTTAACCGATGACACCTATTCTAATAAGATCACTTTGTTGAGATCCAAGTTGAAACAGAGTCGAATAAAGGGAAAAGAAACTGATTAGTTTATAATTAGACCACATTTAGTATGAACTCAGTTCCACGACTGACGACTTGATATCAGTTAGAGAACCATTGAAATTCAATGAGCACTGGACAGCTATTTCAATCTAGTTTGAGACACTTTAGTAGAATGCTCTTATGGCCAGGATGTTCACTAGTGATTGACTACATGATGAAGTTTCCTGGAGTTCTAGTGAGAAGTCATGATCAGTGGGGTGCACCAGGTCGGTTGTCAAAACAAATACTCGCCAACGACACTGGCTGGCAGTGGTGCTGCAAATTGAGAAATGACAGAAGCTAGAATTCACGTGATGGCCTTTGTGTACTATCTCAGCAGCTGAATGGTCAACGACAACACCTCGTAACCTGAAGGCCCTGGGTTCGATCCCCGATGGGTGGGCTCGTGGGAGCGTACTGCTGAGGAGCCCAAAACTACGATGAAACGACTGACCTTAACTTTTATCAGTCCATGACCAAACCCAAACATGAAACTAACACTTGAAAACGGCCAGTTTGTTTTCAAATGTAATCATCACAACCCCAACAAGACATCAACCAACAAACACTGATCTTAAACAAAACTATGATCTCTCAGTTCAGACAAGCTAAAAGTGAAGGTGGATGACTATACTGGGAATGTCTGTAAAATAACAAAACATCCACTATACGAAATGAACTTCGGTAATTCAGTGGTGCCATTTACACCACATGACTCGATGACCCTATGTAAGATTCCACTTTTACGAAATCTTAAAAAAGCGAACTTGTGGATGTTCTCCAGTGATTGTTGACCTAATATGGTGACTTTCTTTAAATCAAATAATTCAGCCTTGAAATGATTCATCTCTACTCTTAAAATCAACAGATTATACATAAGGCTAAATGTAATATCAGTACAACACGATGTTTATGTAGAAGACTGATGTTGTTTAGCTCACTTTTACAACAACAAAAAGGAGACTCCCTCTGGAAACCAATCAGATAGATTGATTTCAGTAACCGAACCTCTCTCTTCATCTTTTTGAGATGAGTCGGAACCGGGGCTTCAAGCTGTTCAACTCCGCATTTTCAGTAGCAGTCGTGTAGTTTTTATGGAGTGGGGTCGGTAGCGTCACGCCTAACCTCCCCTCTCTACTGAGCTTACTACCGGCTAAGCGAGCTTCAGAGGTGGGCTGGCTGGCAATCGAAGCTGAACCACAAGTGTGATTAGCGAGTATTCCACCAGTGAACTACCGACATATATGAACAATCGACAAGGTATCATAATGTGTCAAACAGGTCATTATCTCTTAGGCAATAATACGATTAGACTCAAAAAATGTGGACAATAGAATAAAGCACATACGAGCACATCATACTGTAGTGTTAATGGATATCATCAACAACAACTAAGCAGTTAAATTAGCTACCATCCAATTACTATGTCTATGATGTCTATGAGTTTCAAAATAGAACTTTGCACAGAAATGTAGCATTTGAAATCGCCAAACTCCGTGTAGCATACAAGCGTAGAGAAAAGGGAAATTCAAAAGAACTGTAGCAAGCAGAAATGTGAGGAAGAAAGAATGAATAGTAACATGGAAAAAGATGAATTTAATGGATGTTAGGGGTTACAAAGAGTGAATGTATATGAGCCAATGATAACGACTTTGAGTCATATCCCCAATTATTTATTTATTTAAACGCAGAAAAAACTTGGTACAATATGGCACCAAGGAAGATCCACCACACAATAATAATAAAACAACATAGATTAAAAGTAGAAATATAAGTAGAAAACGGATAAAGAACTTCATCTTGAAGGAAAACAGTCATACTTAACAAGTTCAAACAGTATTCGTCAACTATCATCAGGAGGGGAAGAAAGAAGGAAATCGCAACACGTTTGCCATTGATTACGATTCTTGGCCATATCCGATAACGTTTCGAGCCATGGATTTGAGCTATCTGGCGGACCCCAACCAGGGAGTCGTGACGCACCAACCGATGCTAATCTAGCACAAACATCCTTCATCCCACGACGCCACGTCATGGACTGACCACCCCTCCGCCTTTCCCATCCCGTTCCAGGGCTAGCGAACAGAGACATGTACGGTGGCCTCTGGGATGACATTCGCAGCACATGTCCAAGCCACCGGAGCCGGTGTTTCCAGATGACGACACTCAATGAATGGTGATCTCCACTGTGTTCAAACACACGCCGTCGAACCTCAGAATTACTCTCCCGATGATGCCATCGAACGCAAGCAATCTTGCGGAGACAGCAACGATCGAACACGCAGAGTCGCCTCACATCCTCAGCTCGGAGAGGCCAGGTTTCACAGGCGTAGAGCAAGACAGCCCGCACCGAAGCATTGTATACCCGACCTTTGACAGCCAGGCTAACGTCGCGATGGCGCCAGAGGTGGCTCAAGTTGATGTATGCCACCCTAGCCTTCACTAAACAGTTGGAAATCTCATCCGTCACCCCTCCGCCAGCACTCACACAACTACCCAGATACACAAACTTATCAACAACTCCAAGCGGTTCACCCGCAAGAGTGAGTGCAGGTACAGGCTCCTGCCAATCTTGTAACAGTACTTTGCACTTAGACGGTGCAAAGCACATACCATACTTACACACACTGACCGCCAACTGGTTAAGTGCGATTTGGGCAGCCTGCATGCTATCGCACAGTAAGACGATATCGTCTGCATACTCGAGGTCGAAAAGTCTATCTCCAGGGAGCATATCTACACCATCTTCACGCACATTCTTCAGAGCTGACTCCAGAATGTCATCGATGGCAAAGTTAAAGAGAAGTGGAGAGATTGGGCAACCCTGTCTAACCCCACTGTTGGTTGGGAATAGTGATGATAGTTGGTTGTATGCCCTCACTCTACCTGAGGTGTTTCTGTATAGGGCTTTCAAGATGTTAACAAATTTCTCATGTACACCTCTCCCTAACAGACAGTTCCAGAGCACAGTTCTGTCCAACGAATCGAAGGCAGCCCTAATATCAAGAAACACAACGATCATTGGCCTGCAATACGTGTGGCGGTGTTCCAACAACTGACGAAGGGTGAACACATGATCAATGCATCCACGACCTGAACGGAACCCAGCCTGCTCTTCGCGAATCAATCCCTCACGTATTTTGCACAGCCTGCGAAGCAAGACAGCAGCCAATATTTTAGACGCGACTGGTAGCAGACTGATACCCCTATGATTGTCACACGAATTACGTCGACACTTTTTAAAGATGGGGACGATAATGGCTTCGTTCCACATTGATGGTACACTCTCAGTCTCCCATACCTTTCTGAATAGTCCAGTTAGAGCTATTGCGAGTCTCGCCACCATCTTTAACAAGGGCCATGGGTAGATTGTCTGGGCCGGGTGCCTTATGGCGTTTTATCACTTGGAGTTCCTTACGGACCTCCGCTTCGGTGGGTGGGTCGGTATTAACCGACCAAGGAGCACTGGGGCTAATGACAGCTAAACTGTTTCCCGAAGTGCTCTGCCCAGCGTTCCAGGCATCTTTTCGAGCTGGTAATTGGCGTGCCATCTGCCTCACAGACCGTCTCGCTGACACCTTGTTTCTTGCTGCCTGTGACTCGGATGAGTTGGAACAGCTTCCGACTGTTGCCAGATGCAGCAGCTGACTCCATCTCACATGCACAGTCTAACCACCAGGCTTCCCGGTCCTTACGTAAACACTGTCTTATCTTGCGCGTCAGCGCCTTTCGCTTATTGCTGTATTCGCTGCCAGCCGGAATGGACCGGCGTTCATCCAGGAGTTGCAAGGAACCGCAGAAACCCAGTGGTTTTTGGTGGAGCATTCCATCAAGCCGCAAGCGGCTACACTCGCCCTTTGTATGGCACCTTGCAGATGAAGACAATGTTCATCTATACTACTTGGGGGGTTGCTGGCAAGCATTGACTGTAACTCGTTCTGATATTTCAAAGAAGTAGCAGGTGCTACTAGTTTGCTCACATCAACGTTTAGACGACGCCTTTTATGAACCCCACCAAATCGCAAGACGAACTTGGCACACACTAACGTATGATCGGAGTCCAGGCATGTGCTCCAGAAGTAGCGACAGTCTTGTATGCATCCCCCATAGTCTTCAGCCATCGGTTTCTTAACATTTTGAAGACCCTAACCAGGCAGTCTACACGTCCCTACGTGGCTGGCTCAAATCAACAGTCAGAATCCATTGATTGACTCCAGATTGTGATTTAACTACCTCTCATTCTTTTTCATCCCAACCCTATGTCAATTAACATTCCTCGCCAAAGAAGGCTGTGATTCGGAGTGCGTAAACGTATCTTCAATCGATGCAGCTTCACCTCATCGGTTGACTTCTCTTCCTTACCTAGCACTTTGCACCTAGTCTCAATACTGTTCACCATATTATACAACTTAACACGGGAGATAAAAGGTAAACAACTGTGGTCAAAGACAATCAAGCTTTTCATATCTTCTGCTTCCAATGGCCATATCTCAGAGCCATAAAGTAAGAGTGTGAACTGCTGGGCAACACACACGTCCACTGATGGATAGCCGGGTATCACGTCTACGTCAGAGATGACGTAAGTCGGCTAATGCCACATTGGTATTTCATCAGCGATTAGTGCATCAATACAATGACTAATTCATATATAATAGAAAGATAAGAATCAAGTTTGCGATGGGAAAAAAAAATATCTACTTTTGCAGTATAACACAAATGTGAAACAACAACTGTTAATATTGGTTAGCGTGGACACGAGAGAATGCATCCCACTTATTAATTTCTATCTTTTTGATGATGCTGATGATGAACTGATACATCAGAAGTATTTTGTACACTAAAAGGAATGGCTTGGATTTCACTCTTCATATCTACCATAATCTGTTCAATCGACTACGTGATACAGCATAGTGAATCAGTAAACATCATAATTGGGAATAATAAATTAGTACCTCTTAAATAATAGTCACATGTGATGCAATTTAACTGTTTGTATTTACTTCTTATCGTGCCTAAGCTTCATATTTAATCAATTAATTCTGACATTTACACATTCACATCAATTCTATTTATTTAAATACTATCTCTTACGTATTTAGACAAATTGTAAGCAAAAACACAGCTGATATCTATCCTTTTTGTCTTTGCACACATATATAGTTGTAGTAAAAAGTTAAATAAGGGTACGCTATTTGTGCGTTGGTGGTTCAGTCAGCCAGCGACGCCTCACGCGAGCCGGGTTCGATTCCCGACCGATGCACTCCTATCAAACTTGTTTATCCTGTAGTGAGCCCGATTTAGAAGGAAGATTGAACATCAGTTTACCAATCTCACACCATAAAAAAAGACACCACTGCTACTGAAACTGAAAGGTTAAATGTTGAAGACCTATGTTCTACTTGCAACCCAAAGGAATGTGAAAAATACCATTAAATCGAAATGGCCTGGAAATTATGAGCTCATTGTTGATTTTAGTAAAACCAAACTGATCAGTAACTTTTGAGTGTATAGGCTCCTTTGCTAAGAGCTTCAGCAAATTGCTCTCAGTTACAGTCGAATATTATTCGTTTCATGATGGATAGCTCCTGAACCCTTAGTCAAGAACTTCTTCTTTATCAACATACATACATTTAAGAACCTCAGAAATTACACAGTGAAAAAAATGAAAGTTCGATTGTACAATTTGCATGCATACATACACAATAGAGATTAAAATTGACTAACACTAGTCTTAAAATAGATTTTCTTTGTTTAATACCGTCTGTATGTTTCACGTCTTTACCTCTACTAATACCAAAACATTCTAGTCGATTTTATGGTGGTGACTTGTTTTTCAATTAAAATTTTCTGTATGAACACGCCCCACACATATATGTCGTGAGAGAAATCGGTTTCGTCCTGAAATATTCAATACGCAAAAGTTCAGTATTAAATTCACTTTCGAGTTTTAGTTCGTAGGGATTCGATTGGTTTCAAAGTCCTGGATTCGATCTCCGGCGCGGTCATAAGTATGTATTGCTTAAGAGACCCGGGTTACGATGAAACAACTACTGTTCAGTACTCCCTGGTGGTTTTTAGTGGCTCTAACTGATATCAATCCGTGGTCAAACTCCAAACCAATCAAATCCCTAGGAAATAACACCAGAAAAAAATACATTTATTGGAGACGATATCTACTGCTGAACTGAATGGATGCAGCATATGTGCCCAAAAATACCTAATATACCTGTAACAGCCTCAAGTATGAGATAAGGTAGCAAGCTATAACTTCTGATGTGTGAGACAGTTTATGCTGATGACTGGTCATGTTGACCGAAATAAGTTAGAGGGAACTTTGAGCCTCTAGCCGAGTGAAAAAAAACATCAGTTAGAATAGGTGAGTACACAATGCATTCACGACAGAAAACTTAGGGAAGCCTTTGAAGTGAATACAGGAATGAGATAAGGCTGTCTGCTATCGCTGATGATATTCCTGATTATAGTAGACTGGATTATGTGGCAGATGGAGCGATGGGAGTGAGAAGACAAAAATACATTTGACCGACAGGAAGACTCCAAAATATTTCGACTTCACAGATGATTTATATCTGATGTCACACAAACTCGAAGACTTACAGGCGAAAACCAACAAGTTTTAAGAAGAAGCAGAGAAGACAGGACCACAGGTGAACAAACAGAAAATAGATGTAATGAATATACCTAAGCAACAAGAAGGCACCAATCACTATCAATAGGAGAAATTTGAAACAGGTCACTTCGTTCACTTACCTAGGCAGCATTGTTTGAACCACACGTAGCACAGATGAAGATGCCAAAGCCAGGATCGGCAAAGCAAGACAGACCCTCACCACTCTGAAATCAGTCTTGGAATCTGCTGCATTCAGCATAAGGAGTAGATTTAGATTATTAACACTAGTATCATGTCAGTCAGTGCTTTTCTATGGTTCATACACCTGATGCATGTGTTGCCAAAGGCACTTCCAAGAGGTTGCAGACTTTTATCAACAGCGGTTCTCTTCACTCCATACAGAAGATCAGATCGGTGGCCAAAATGGATCAGCAACAAGGAACCCTGGTGGACAAAGAATCAGCCAAAAACCCGTTGCCCAACAAACATGTCGAAAAAATGGAGGTGTATCAGGCACACGCTGAAGGGACAGTTGACTGACATCACACACCAGTCAGGCTCTCGTGTGAAGCCCCGAAGGGAAACGACAAGTTGGGTGTGGATCCTAGGGTGATATGGAGATCGTGTGAGGAGGACATGAGAGCTTGTGGTCAATCGTGGAACCAGTTGAAGACAACCACAGAAAACAGGATGGAATGGAGATGGATTATTGAGGCCATGTTACACTCGTAACCTAAGGGAATAATAATACATGGTAGACTTACCCCCGAATTCTCCCCGACCAATTCGATCACCCAACACAATATCCTTGCGAAAGATGAGATAACCAGATTTCTGTAATTTACTGAGTCGTTTCCTCTGCATATCAGGAACTGGATGATGGAGTGCACAAACTAATCCACGCTTAGGTTGAGAATAAAACTATACAACAATCAAGAAAGAGTATAAAGTAAGTAAAGACGAGTAAACAATGAATGGGAATACCAAACACATGCATAGTACTTAGAGACTAAGTGCAACAGTAAAGAATATATATATATACGTTTATGCATCCCAGGTGAGTGATAATGTCCTCGCTGAGACTCAAACCCAGCACCCATCACTCCTAACGCTAAAGCGTTATATCCATTAGGCCAGTAGGGCCACGAGATCCAGATTTTATGCAACAGGTGTCAATTATCATTCGCTTTTATTTTGTATTTGTCAACATAAATGGAACAATTTGTTTGAAGTAATCAGTCAACAATGAATTAAAACATACGATAATTGATGCCCGTTGCACAAGAGATTGCTCTCGCGACCCAAGAGGCTTAATGGATACCACTTTGACGTTTCAAACTATGGGTTCTGGGTTCGAGTTCCAGTCCGGACAATACCGCCCACTTGCAATACAGGTGCATCCAAATGACGAGTCCCAAATAGGACGAAACACACATCCTCGGTTACACCGCTAATGACTACTCTCACCAAGTCACTAGAATATTAAATACTTGATTAAAAATAATCGATGAGCTCATTTCTGTATGATACTTGATTGTCTCTATCGACAAACACCTTACAATGAATAAATGAAAGCTTAAATGAAGATTTCATAAGAAATGAATAACAGCTAAGCATCAGTAGTTGAATTTTACGATTTGCTATTAAGTCACGATCACGAAAGCTAATAACTGGTTTATTTTTTTAGATAATTCATATAACGAGCGATCGTAACACTGAAAAAATCCATTCAGAAATTCTACTCAAATGAGAGAAGCATTCACTCGATAAGTCTTCGAATCCACACAGGGTTTAGTGTTACATAGGCAGCCTATAACACAACCCCGTGAGTTCAAGAACAACTTTTGTAACACTAAAACGCATAATATATTAAAGGGATACAATTGTTGTATCTCTTAAGGAGTGTGATTAAAACTGCGATTAATCGCATGCATTAACCATCAGAGACATCACAGAATAAATTGAGCCAGTTGAAATTCATCAAACGAACAAGCAAACAATCAAATGTTGCAAAACAAGCAACATTCATTTCTAAAAACACACGCACCAGACGTTACCACCTGTAAGAAGAATCCGACAAAGTTATTCTAAGGCAAAAGTTTTACTCAGCAGCTTCAGAACATACTCAATATCTAATCTCATTATTACTAACTACACTGCTTAGAAATCAGTTACTCAAAATAGATTTCCCATATGCCACACTCTGAGACACTCTCAATGTGTAAAGACTAGTAGTAATATCCAGTTGTCGAGTTGGAAGTAGGTGCAGCAAGATCCAAATCCACCGCCTGTTCCCTGAAAGTCAAGTACTGAGCTCAATCGGCCGCATCTCCACCTTTAATGTCTATATCCCATAACCGGAAAAGTAGGACGCAGCTGAGTGCTGCACAGTGCATGCATACTTTGATGGGTAGCCAAATATCGTGCCGCCGTCAAAAGTGCCACAAGTTGGGAGATGCCTGGTGGCTCTTTCGTGTCTGTGTAAAGATTTCACTAGAAACTTGTTAATTAAGGCTGATATGACTTCTAAAATAAGTGAACCTATCGATACATTCAACTAATTCCCTATTTTCAAATTACGAGTGCTTTGTTTAGTACAATATATTTTTGTCAACAGTCTCTTTATAGCCAAACATTCCCACAGAACTTCTCGATCCGTGGAGTCGTATGCCCCAACTTGATAAAGAAATATTCTGAGGACTGAATTTCTGTATAACTCGTATATCCAATTCTCTTTTAGAACGAATTACAAGATTACCTTCGCCATATATGATACTTCACATTCAACTTGATATCACCCAAATCCCCACAAACCCAGCATTTGGAAAACAAAAGCACTCCAACAATATGTCTCCGCACATGGAATACAGAACTGATCAACCAAGTTTCAAAATATCACAAATTGTAAAGTAGCTCACCTGAACAAGTTCTAGAAGACTTGAAAACCAATCAGTTTCATCCAATGTGTAATGAATCTTGCTACAAATTGAAGACGTTGTTGTCGAATACTCAAAATGTTGCTTGGGATGAACAGATTTGTAAGGTCTACGTAGGATTCTATAGTGTTGTACATTGGTTGAAACATCTGTGGACAATGCCGTACAATTCTCATGTTCATTGACATCAGAGCTTTCAGCTATACATGGAGGTCCAACTACACAAAGAGTTAGATCTCCAGTATATAAATCCGATTCACGAATTAGGAAGCTTCCAACGGGACTGCCACATAGTAAACTTTCTGATTCTGCACGGGAAATTCTTCCATGATACCAACTAGGCAAAAAAATAGATTAATTTTTACAACTTTGGGGAGCTAGATAAAAATAGGTTAATACCATATGCCGTTTAGTTCTAGACATGAAACAATGGAACAAAAAATTCCGATTTAACTAGCAAACATATGGAAAGTTGTATTGCAGGAAAATAGTAGGAGTAGAATTATAAATTTAGAAAAATTAGGAAGTCATATGAGCACCTTGATATGATTATGGGCAACAATTTACTTGAAGCGTCACCCAGTTGGTCATACTATATCACTGGGTATCACATCAAAGAAACATATGGAATTACACCCTACCATAGTAACCCAATTCCGCCCTTAGAATGAGTTGACATCATTAGTTTTGGATTTTAGCCTGTTTAATATAACTAATCCCTATCTAGTTGAAACGCAAAAACCTCCTGTTCAGCATAAAGAACACACTATCCCAATCTAATCAAAACACTCAGTCCACTGCATTTAACACCAGCAGACAAAACTCAGTGTCACACTACTTAATTTCATAATCTTTTCCTCTTCTACATACACCACTTTTTGATGTGGGTGTGTTCTTTGAGCCGGATGGTTCAACTGCAAAGCTGTCACTACCTTCCCGAATTTCTTGAGCTTATTGAGTTCTCCATGAATAATATAGCTACTTCTTATTTAATCAACTAAACGAAAAGTGCTGACGATTCGAACCAGTGAAACGTCAAAGCTCACCTTCTGAAACCGTGTGGCTTCACTGGTTGAAAATTGTAGCCACTTAAAGTATAGTTGTGTTGCGCATACAAGACATAGAAAGCTTAATCCTGATTATTTACCTGATGCCACCTTGTTGTGATGAATTAGTGAAATTCATGAGATTCTACAACTAACACTAGTAGACTCGCTGATGTATATGGATGTTATTAAGATTCGAGGTATAAGATTGACTGTCTAACTGACAGCTAGTGGACAGTCGTCTGTATGCTATCCAGATAAATCGACCATAGATGTTTGCATTCTGTCTACCGTGTTATTTGGTGCAATGTAATGAGTAATACTGAGGTTAAGTGTAGAACACAGGGGAAGGAGGCAAAAATTAATCGATAACACGACTGATACGATACGCATCGAACTTGCCTTACTCAATGAGCAATATAAGCTGACACAATTAGGTGGGAAAAGAGTTAGGAGTGGTCATATCGAAACCTGAAGTCAATCCACGAGGTAGTTGACTGTGTGTTCTGGTCATGTAGGAAGTTGTAGGCTACCTAGCTGGGGTCACCTGAATACTAAAAACCAATGGTTTCAAACTCCTGTCCACACAACTTAATATCGTTTGCATTGGCACGGGTGTGTTTAATCCCATCGAATCTCTGTATTTCAAAAACCCTCAATAATCCTTAATTAAATCTTCCCTTTTACTCGCAGATTCATCCGCTGTACTCACATGGCATTTTTTTATTCTTACATGTACTTTTTGAAGTGCGGTGAGTGGAAATGATGCACCTAGGTACGAATTTCTGTATTGATGTTCCTTAGTAGGTTCATAAGTGAGGGCTTTCTTGTATTTCAGCAGTATAACTGGTCTACTTTGGTAGTAAACAACAAGTTTATTTGCCTTTACCGATCACCTGTGGTTATTAAATGTAGTACCTTGACATCACAATTATGTGTAAATACAGTTAAATATCCAGACGAATACAATAATAGATGTCTCTTAAAGTAGATATCTTTATAAAATCAAACAGTGAGGACCAAAACGTTTAAAACAGGGCAAGAATTGGTCATATCGAATTACCAATGATTCTGAATGTTATCCAAAGAGTCAGTTTTACGTTGTACATAATTTAAAGGAATAAGTCCAGTTTCTCCCGAAGTATTCTTCGCATGTGCCCAATTAGGATCCTTCACGCGAAGTCAGATGTAAATTGTGCATCATAATAAGAAATTACCTTTCCAATATTAATTATCTGAAGTGTATCATCTTTACGAAAAGGCAAATCCTCATTTTTATCCTTTTTAAAAGTATAATTTGCTTTCACAAGATCTCCAGTTTTAAAGGCACATTCCATCACACAGTCAAGTTTCATAGTTCACAGTGGTATCAATTAAAGTCATTGTTCACCCAACTTATCTTCAGAGACGTCCGCAATTAAACAGGAACGTAAATGTTTGAAAATGTGCGAAACGTTTCAATATCCAACATCCTAATTACGAGCTAGTATAAACCAGTGATTTCTTTGAGCTCGCTTCTTGATTGTAAGGTAGAGGTTCCAGATCTTCGGTGAACTTCTGCGTAGTAAGTCCCGCTACTCAACTGCTTTAGCTTCGGTAGACTCCAAGAGGAGTGGTGCGGGGATTGGTCAAAATGTAGTTTGTAGTATGCAGTATGTTAGGACTGTGTTGCTGCCGTGAATGGAGTTTGACCTAACTCCATTCGGTGTAGTCATAAAAGCAGAATAGTAATAATAATAACAATAGGTTGTAGTGTAGATAATATAGGTTGAGATAAGTGAAATAATAAAGGTGACCTAAGGAAAAGATAGAGTAGTCAGTACAGTGAGAGAAGACAGAACGGGTCATGGGGATTTAGTTTGTATGCTTATCCATTGACAGTGTGGTTTTAAATTTTAAGAGGATAAGCCATTGAGACACAAACCTTGCATTTCTGAATGATTGTATAGCTTCCGCTCAAAAGTCTCCACAGATGGCTCTGTAGTCACGGCCGTCGGTAAAGCGTTCCAGAGACGGCAAGCTCGAAGCGAGAAGAAATGTGAACGCACTCGAGTCTCTGGACTCTGGTGTGCTATCCTTAGCGAGTTACCTCGTGAAAGCCTATAATCACTTAATGGCAGGATGCTTTTATTTGGGTGGGATTGGTCATTTAAGATCTTGTAGACGGTGATGAGGTCTCCCCTGTGACTACGGTAACTAAGTTTGAAAAGACTCAATTTCTTCAGTCTTACCTCATATCATTTGTTGCGGAGGCCGATCACCCATTTTGTCGCTCGTCTCTGGACACTTTCTAGAATGTTAGCATCCCTTCTGAGTAGCGGAGGAGCAATGATATCATGCACCTCAAGGTGTGGCCTCACGTATGTCTTATACAACCTTAAGAATAGTTCGAGAGTAAGAGCTCCCAGCCGCCTATGCATAAAGTGTAAAGTTGCGTAGGCCTTAGCGACGTCCCCCGTGTAATTTCCACTGGTGTGCAGCTTTTCTGTCAGAATAAGACCTAGATCGCACTCTGATGGCACACAACTCAAGTTCTGGCCACCAACGGTGTAATTTACACTCTGTGACCTGCCGGAATGAAGTTGCACTACTTTGCACTTCTTTAGGTTGAAAGGCGTTCCGTTAGCCAGAGCCCAGTCTCCCAGAGTTTGCAGGTCAGTCTACAATCTGTCTGAGTCTTCCAATGAGTTTATTGCTCTCCAGATCTTTACGTCGTCAGCGTAAAGAAGCGCAGAGCAGTCCAGTTGAAAGGGCAGGTCGTTGGTAAAAATCAAAAACATCAACGGCCCTAAGAGGGAACCTTGAGGAACCCCTGATGCCGAGGTGTGCCAGGATGATCGGATGTGGTTGACTTTGGTGCAGAATTCTCTCTCGCCTAAGTAATCTTTCAGCCATGCGAGAAGTGCTCCAGAAACACCCACCCTGCTTATTTTGTGAAGGAGCAGACCATGGTGAACTGTGTCGAATGCTTTCGCAAAGCCGAGAAAGATCACATGGACCGGTACTTTTACGTCCCAGGATAGTGTCCAATCGTTCCAAGCTAGTAGAAGATTCGTCACACAGGATCTTCCCCTCCTGAAACCGTGCTGTGCTTCATGGAGTAGGTTAGTCCCGCCGAAGTATTTTCTCATGTGGTCGTCAATGAGACTTTCCAATATCTTCGATAACACTGGAAGTAGCGCAACTGGTCTGTAACTGGTCGCATTCTTCCAGTCACCACCCTTGAAGATAGGGGATAGGATGGCTCGTTTCCATTCACATGGAAGTTTCCCTACATCAAAGGAGTGTTGAAACAGATCACTAAGGGGTTGGCGGAGACTTTCTGAACACTGCTTCAGGACGGATGGTCTGATGTCATCACAACCTGAAGACTTTCCCGAAGTCAATTTTCCCAATTTTACGAGTACCATAGCCGGGGTCACTTGGAATGTACCCAGCAGCTTTTCGCGCGTTGGTTTTGCATTGTAATCTTGATGTTTTGTGGGGGTAATACCCTCGTTGCTGTTTAGTTGCCTGTGAAAGGCTAGACTGAATACCTCTGCCACTTCAAGGCTAGTAAGAGATTTCCCATCAGAACCCACTAGATTGCATGCTCCCTGGTTGGTCGGTTTTCTTTCAGACATAAACCTGTATAGGCTTTTTGGGTTCACGAGAAGCTTATTGGCGAGGTTTCCCTGAAATGTCCTTCTATCACTCCGGACTCGTATGTTACATCGATTCCTGAGTTCAAGGTACACTTCATGTTCGGGTTGACTCTTCGATACTCGCCACGCAAACCAGGCTTTTCGCTTTGCCTGCAGAAGGCGTTGTGTCCCCCTTTTTAGCCATGAACGTCGCTTCCTAGCTTTTGGTGTGACTAAAGGAACAGTGTCTGAGACCGCCTGGTGAATGATCTCCTTTACCACTCCACAGTGTTCTTCTACTGTCCAATTTTTTGGCCAATTTGCTTCAGACAAAAGTCTTCGCATTTCGGTGTAATTGGCTTTGTTATAACACAGATAGGGCTGTGTATCGTTCCACTGTAAGCGCCTGCGAATACTGTGACCGCGTGGTCACTACTACTCATGTGAGTCGTGATCTGAACGTTTTCTACTAGTAGCTGGTCACTAGTGAGCACATAATGCAGTCTAGAAGACCTCCCATCTGGGCCCCATCTAGTATGCATACTGACATTTTCAGTGAATCCAGCCTTCTTGATGGTATGCATCAGATTTCGATCAAATCTATTATGGGCGTATCAAGTTATCGAGTTAAGAGATGGGGCATTGAAGTCGCCAGCTATGACAATTTGATCATAACCCATGTCTTGTGTCGCTGAAATTGTATTCAGCAGTACCTGGTTGTGGTCTGCTCCAAATGAAGGTGATCGATAAATGCTGCCCACTATACAACGCGGTACGTCCAACGTTTGCGTTACATTTTTGCGTTGTAATGAAATAAAACCACCATAATGCCACTAAATAAGTTTCTTTTATTCTTTTTTCAGAAAGAAACGCTGACGTGGCCTCACTGGAACAGGAGGAAGATCGTTTGGCCAGACTTGTTATAAGTGACGATAATTAGCTTGTACCCGGTTAATTCAATCCTGGCGTGGTTGAAATAAAGATCTCCCTCTCGTCTCTTCGTCTTCTTCCTTTCCGTTGGTTGTGGCTGTTGCTTGCGTGTAACAAATTGGTGTCGGAGGTGTTTTATCTACACTTAACATGGCAAATCGACCAGAGGATCAGCCTCCCAAATTGTTTCCTCAGGATAGTGCTCCATCATTGCCTAGTGTACCACCGCTTTCCTGCCCACCACTGCTGCAACCATCATCAGATTGTCCTCGCTGGAAGATACTAATGCAGGCGTTCCTGGACGTTGCCCCAGCAGCCCACCATTTCGTCCACGTCCTCAACAACCTATCAGACGATGCATTCGCCCGTGCACACGCTGCTGGGTTCAGTAAAACCAACTCCATGCAAACGAACTGGGAGATTCTAGATCAATGTTTTGACCTGAGGCTGGGTTCTCAACATACCCTATTACAACTGCTCTCCCGCCGACAACTACCAGGAGAGAGTTTCCTGGAATATCTTAACGCTCTCCAGCTACTGGCAGCTGGACTTGACAATCACGATAGCCCTGGCAGCACAGACCAATTGGTATGCACCCGCTTCGTCGAGGGAATGTTGCCTGGTGACCTGCGCACAAACCTCCGACGTCAGCTCCCAGCCAACACGTCCAAGTTACAGAAGATTATTCTCCGTTTCATGGACGCCGAGAACGACCACGTGTCGACACCCAGCACCTCTATGTGCCCAGTATCAACAAAACCCAATGCACCCGCCGTGACCCCTGTTCGCCGCGACCGTTCAAGAAGCCAACGACGCTCAAATGGGGACGCTACCCGTCGCTGCTACTATTGTCAACGCTTCGGGAAGAAGGCCCGTAAGTGTGGCCACAATCGCCAGCCGGACGGCAGTAAGTCCCCTGTTTTTAATTTGTCTACATACTCTTGTAACCGGCAACCTTTGATGTTATGGGGACATATTAATGGAGTGCCCTCTAAAGTCCTCTTAGATACTGGCGCGTCGGTCTCTCTAGTAAAGGCTTCCTTCCTTCGACGCTTGCCCCAGTACTCAACCCCAGTAACCACTTACACCATCTTGACGACAGCTCACGGTGCCAAACTGGAGGCCCGATCTGCTACCGATCTACAGCTGCGTCTTGGAGACCTAGATGTGCGCCATCAGTTTCTTATCTGCGCCCAGATTACATGGGACCTCGCCCATCGGTACCTGCCGGTTCGTGTCCTAAATTCTACGCCCCGTGGCAAGGACCTTATGAGATCGTACAGCACCGACCTCCCACAACGTATGTCCTGCGAAATTTGCGACGTCCTCAAGATAACCTTATCTCCGCACACTATAACCAGCTGAAACCACATCATCCAGCAGCCGCCCAGAAGCCGTCGCCATCCCCGCAACCACCGCCCGCTACTAGTTTCGTCGAGGTACCAACAGATGGAGGCAGTGCATATCCTATACCACCGCCAGGCATTGAGGACAGTGCCTCCAGAAGGGGGAAGGCGATGTAACGAAATAAAAACCACCATAATGCCACTAAATAAGTTTCTTTTATTCTTTTTTCAGAAAGAAACGCTGACGTGGCCTCACTGGAACAGGAGGAAGATCGTTTGGCCAGACTTGTTATAAGTGACGATAATTAGCTTGTACCCGGTTAATTCAATCCTGGCGTGGTTGAAATAAAGATCTCCCTCTCGTCTCTTCGTCTTCTTCCTTTCCGTTGGTTGTGGCTGTTGCTTGCGTGTAACAGCGTGATTCGTTACATAAAATTTATCTTGTTGTAATACTTG